CAAATATTTAAGATAATAAAAATTTGAATTTTCAACAGAAGTTTATTTGCTTCCCGTGTATTCCTTGATGTTTCGTCTATATTTTGGATTTTGGACTACTCTATCTCAACATTTCTCAATACTTAGGCTACTTTTATTTCAGAAAATTAACCCTTTGCGGTCGAATGGAGAGTATAGGTTGCCGTTGTTGATTTGCCGTTTGCCATTTTGCCGACTGCTCAAAAATGGCAACCTACAAGGACAAAAAAAAAAAAATTATTCAAAAATTAAAAAAGTTAATTATTTTGGTCGAATGGCGAGTATAGGTCACTGGGCGCCATTTTCCTGACTGCTTGAATGGCAAGCTAAATTCGCCGGAAAATGTGGAAAAAATTTGACCTCAAAGGGTTAAAAAATCTTTCAGATAAGCTTAGTAGCTTATTAGGTATTAGTAGCAATTAGGTTTAAGCAAATCTGTAAATTTGTCAAGTGTTTACTTAACAGGCTGGATTAAGATTTTAAACGTTTACTTGCACTAATCTGAGCGTGAAATCGATGTTCCATTCCATCGAATTTCAATCAAATATATCATATAGAAATGTACTAAATGAACAGTGAAATAATATAAAAGTACGATAAATCAACCTGATTTCTTTCAACTCCATCCACAAAGAACACAGTATTGTATTTTATTAAGATGACTACTAATATGACACACTTAATTTCTACACCATATTACAAAAGGTTAGTAATGGGAATTCAGCTACTGTATCATTGTTTTCCTAATTAATTATGAATCTAAAATAAAGAATAACATACAAAACCTCTATTGAATCTGAATTCCTTAACCTTAATATTGCATCTTGTTTAATAAGACATTCCAAAATTAAATAATGGAGTTCATGATTTTTAAAAGTTTCACTGACATATTTTTTTGTTTCAGGTAAATATTATGATTGGCGTTTGCAAAGGAAAGGAAGTAGTAAATCAGGAAGAAGAAAATTAGTTCTGCAGAAAAAATTTATAGCCACGATTAAGCAGTGTCATACTCTACAAAATTATTATACAACTCAATAAGCTACAAGTCAATAAGCCATTTAGAGAAATTAAGGTTCTCCATAACTCTATTTTAAGTTATGACTTGCTCTTATGTCTTATTAACGAGTGGTTTTGTATTGTTTCAGTTGTGTACATGAATGGAGGGGACAGCAGTCAAGCCAGTTCTACTGAGAACAAAAATACTCTCAACGGGTCTCCAGGGAACGGAAGCTCTGGAAATGGAAACGATAAAAAAGATGAAATTGAAAAGAAGGATACTTCTTCTAGTGGTGGAGCTTCAGCTGGAGCTGGAGGAGAAGATAATAAACCTCCATCAAAACCCAACCAGAACCATGTAGAAGACGATGATGACGACGACTATGAGGATGACGATGCCTCTGATGACGAAGAGAGCAAAGTTGATCCCGACACTGAAAACAAAACCAGTACTGATGATAAAGACAACTTAAATGGCAAGGAGGATTCTAAATCTGCTGACGATCAGCCTAAAACGTTTGAAGATCCAAGACCATTCAGAGAAGGATGTGAAGAAGTCATTCCTAGAGGGAGAGGGCGGGGACGTGGAAGAGGAAGAGGACGAGGCAGGGGAAGAGGAAGAGGGAGAGGCCGTGGTCGTGGAAGGGGCAGGGGTAGAGGAAGAGTTGGGAGACCACCTCTGTCAAATGGAGGAGATAGACCGATCATTCGACGCCCTCGAAAACCTCGAGGTGCTAGAACTTACAACCCCTCTGAGATGGTAAGAAGGGAAAGAAAAATTAAAATAGACCTGGCCGACTTTGAAGACTCCTCAGGATCAAAAGATCTAGAAAAGGACTTTGCAGCAACTTTGCAAAAGTTAGTGAAGAACTCAAAGAAATCCAAAACTTACAGAGCCGTTGGCCGACCAAGAAAGAGACCTTTAGAAGATGACGAGAGCAATCTGAAGCCTGTTAAACTCGGAGTTGCTTCTTATCCTGTCATTGAAATTAAGAAGAAGAGTGAAAACGACTGGGACGCCGAGGCTAAATACACTATTCCTGGATTTTGTTGCAACGATTGTGGAGCAGTGTACCAAAGCACTGCTGCTTTGAGAAGACATCAGAACTACGAATGTGGAAAAGAGCCGCAGTTTAAATGTGGGGAGTGTGACTATGCAGCGAAACATAAAGGCACTTTGAAAAGTCACATCCGGAATCGTCATATTCCCAAGGAACTACGTGATCAATTGCCCAAAAAGCCTAGAAAGCCGAGGAAACCTAGAACAATTTTGTTTCCCTCTGCACCCTCTCCAATCTGAGAATTTATTTACAACTTTTTTATGTTTTGTTTAGAAAGAGTATCAAAATTAGAGCTAAGCTAACAACAAGCTAAGCTGACAAAGATCTTATGAGGCAACTACAGCAATCTCTTGAGGCTTCTCAATCCTAAAACATAGTTCTTTAAGATCAAATATGTTTAATATTTTGCTATATATAACTCCTCTCTTGTTTCCAAAATATCCCAAAGTATATGAAATATTCTTCAGGGATTGTCATTGCTGTGGTATATGATACACAAGCTACCTGTGCTTTTCATCCATATATAATAAATTTAAAAGATAGAATTAACTCCACAAATCACAATTTAAGACTATTATAATAAGGATTTTGTTTTTTATTTCTATTGATATAACTAAACACACTGAAAACCGTTTAATCTTTACATACAATTAAATGAGACTGATTATAGTTTATGGGTGTAAGTAAAAAAATGATAATAACTTTTTTAGAAGGAGATCATTTTTCGGGGTTTGTGGTCGATTTAGGCTTTGATGGTGATAGAATTGTTGTAATCCAATTATATTTTAAGTTTATATATATAATATTTTTATTTTAATCTATATAATTTTCAATGGGTACTATAAATTAATATTGTACCCAACAAGATATTGTATCAGAAAACTGACAAAGATAATTGAACTTTACTATAAAAAGATACATTTCAACAACCAGTTTATTCTTATCTGTCTCTTAGTCACTTAGTACGGAACAGTACCTGTAAATATGGGTATTAGTATCTCTTTTTGAATATTAGCGATTTATTCAGTAATATACAAAGTAAACGTTAGCTGGATAACGCATAATCTGCAAATAATGCTAGATAATAAGACTAAAGTGGTAAGAAAAGAAATAAACACCATTACCATGCAGCTGTAAGTTCCTTTACCGTTCATGCGAACACTGCCTCTTATATAGTCATTTTTTTCGTACTGAAAGATCAAAATAATGAAAGGTTAATGTTAATACCTTGTTCTAGTTTTAAATAGATGTGGTTCGGTATATTTTGATGCTTAGCTGTAGTCAATGTGTGTATGGTTTGTAATGCAATTTTAACTTGTAGGTTAGTGTTTTAGCACAAGATTTCACTTGAACACTTTATATAGTATACGTAAGCCCAGTCTTAGGCACAGTGTAGGTACCTTTTTAATGTTGCCCCACCAAATAAATACATTTGTATTTGATCTGAATGTTTGTAATAGTAATGTTGGATTTTTGATAAAGTTGGAAATGGTTTTGTTTGAATTAAGCAAATTACGAGTATTATTATTAATTGTGAATCAAATAGTAAGATTAGTATTTTTTAAGGATACAAAATACAATTTTTACTGATAAAAATAACTATAGAATTAAACATTATAAACTGAAGTTTATGTTGTACATGTGTACACATATATGGTTCTATACATAATTCAAATTGTACCTCTGCCACGAACAGTTTTGTTCTGAACAATTTATTATTTTTGTACCACAAACTTGTACAAAACTCAAGTGTAGACAAATAGAACCAAAGATAGCCATTTTGTAACCTAATACCATGTTTATTTTTTAAGTTTAAAGATTTTCTTCTTATAAAGTAGAATCGTGTTTAACACATATATGCATATAAAATAGAACACTATATTTACAGAAAATACAGATCTATTTTATTTTATTTTTTATGGGTTATGAGTTTTATTTTTTGTTATCACATAGACCTATCTAGAACTAGATAAATTAATTTGTTTAGGAAAAAGTATATTCGTTTAGTTTTTGTTAGTGTTGGCTACTGTATTAGTTTCAGTTATGTATTCAATATTATATTTTTAGTTATAGTATGACGTGTTCAAATGATTAGGTTACATATTGTTGCAATAATTTGTCTTAAGTTTTTTTGTTATTCGTGACTGTTAGTTTCTATTTTGAGTTTGATTTTTCAGTATTTAAATTTTATGAACGAACTCAACTCGTTTATAATTTTATCGTAGTTAATGAAATAATTTACAGCTTAAAATTGTGAATCTCCAATTTCACTAAGACTCCCATAATTATTTAAAATGTACGTCCATGACGTTTTAAGGTGTATAATCTCCTAAACTACTTTTTTTACTTCATACTGTGTCATATAAAATATGATTTGATAGTATAATTAGAAGATTAATTAGACTAATTAATTATACATTAATGAATATATAATCTGCTATTTAAGATGCTATTATATCAGTGTTTTCGTGCGTGTGATTTCGGTCAATAAGTTTTAATGTTGTATTTTTACATTTTTATATTTTGGATTTAATGTTGGTGTGTTTGAGTATTATTTAGTTCACATGTGTGGTTTGTAGGCACTGTTATTTTAAGACGCAAGAAGGCGTAAATGACAAATTTTTATTTTGTAGCTCATGCTTGCTAATCATTAAATTCAATTTTACAAAACGTTGTGTGTGTTTTTATAATCCATATATGACATTAGTGTTTTTGTTTGCAGTACCTTGGTGTAACATTACCCAATTATTTCATATGTATGAATACTTAAATGATTTTCCTATTATTAAAATGCTAGCTGTAAGAGTTTTATTTATTTTACAAAACGGGTTTTTAAACAACATCAAGACTCACCTGTACTCGATTTTTATTTTATTTTTGCTAAAAGAATTGATCGATTCTCATTTTGAAAAATATTGCTTGGCAATGACAAGTAAGTGTTGATAAACTTTGTTCATTAATTTTACAGTAATCATATTTTCCATAGTCTAATTTAAACCAAATAAGCACTACATGATTTTTCATTTCCCATTTGATTGAAAACTAAGCGTTCTTATTCAAAACCTGATTATTTTCAATAAGTTAAATATATAAATATTTTGTAAGCTTTGAATAAGACAGTTAACCATTGTTACAAGTTTAGTTTATTAAAATAATTTTCAGTAGTTTATATATTTTACAGGATTTTTTCTGGCTCAATGAAAGGTCTAGGAAACTTGAAGTTAATATTGGGTATATTTGGTTTATTTGATTAATTATGTTGTACAGTATTCCATAAAACCTTTTATAAAAATTAAAATTCCCTTTTGTTCCTTTAGGCCATGATAAACATGACTATAAACAAAATACCTTGCAGGTCCTAATAAAAAAGCCTTGACAAAACTGCAAACTTTAACACACTCTAGTGAATGCAAAATTGAAAGTAACTCATATGGGGCAGCCCGCTAATGTTTTTGTTTGTGAACAATGAAACGGTCCTGTTCCTTGAAGATGATTAAGAACAGAACCAATAACTGAGTTTTAATGGAGGACAGTCAAATACAACAATTAGAAACAAATAATATACTTGTTTATTCCAGTTCCCAAGCGACTTCCTGCAGAGTCATGGTAATTTAAGTATTTTTGGTCTCTTAATGCCCCTTATTCTTTCTTTCACCCTTCTTCCTTGTTCCTCCTTTTCCTTGACATGCCTTCTCTCTTAACCCTCCTCCCTTGTTCCTCGTCCACTCTTGTCTCAACTTGTCTCTTGTCCCTTCTCTTATTCCTAATCCACATGAGTAGGACAGTCCCATCCCTTGAAATTTACCCAAAATTTTAGAGCAATTGAGCTTGACCCAGTTATTATGAGTTACAGAAGGAGGAAAGTTCAAGTGTGACGTTTGTGGAAGACGTTACTCACACAAACGTTCCCTCAACCTCCATGCCAGGCTAGAATGTGGCAAAACCCCGCAGTTTGCTTGTCTGTTGTGCCCCTACAGAGCAAAGCGAAAGAGCACGCTGCAAAGTCATATGGTTTTTAAGCACTCCAGTTGTGACACTCTACCAGCCCTCCTGGATGCCGCTGACTTCAATCAGTAGTCTTTGAGTTTGCTTTTAGTAGGAGTTTTAATAAATTGTTAACTGCTGTTTCGAATTGTTTTTTTTATTAATTTTCCTTATGAGTTTTGAAGAAAATATTTGCTACATACTCATATAGTGCTAAAATTAAACACAAATAAATACTTGTATATTTACGTTGGGTTATATTCTTGTTGGGCATGACTTTTTTGTTAGGCATGTTGGTATTTGACTTTCAAATAGAACACACATGTTAATTACAGTTATTAATTCAATATTTGTAGTGTTAAAAAGTATCAGAAATATAAAAATAAAAACTTTGCGATATTATTTAAAATACTAAAGTATTCTTAAAGCTTACAAGCGTGTTTGCTATTGTATTACAAGTATGATCATACATGGTAACACAAAAGTACAATTTCTTGGTGCTCAGAGTAAACCCGTGTCATATTACAAGTAACTTAGGCTGACATCGCACCATCGTTTTAGATGACCATGTTTGAGTGCTCTGTTACCACTCTGAACATGGCTATCTGCAACGAGGCTAAAGCATCAGCCTAAGTCATCTAAATCTTCATATTGTAAATAACTTTATCTATTTATAACACGGTTTAACTTCGAAGACCACGATAATGCGTTTAGTATCTTCACTTTATTATACTCTCTCATCAATCAATAGTATGATCTTAAACTAAATTTGTTACAGCACTCTCTGGGATTGGTGTGACCCATCAAGAGTTGTTTCAGTGTGATGGTTGTGATAGAAGGTACAAACATAAGTGTTCTGTGGGCAAACACAAGAAGTATGAGTGTGGCCAGGAAGCTCGATTTAAATGTCCTGCGTGTCCTTACAGGTCTTTCCGGAAAGGCCAGATGGTGCGACACACATCTCGCTATCACAAGGAATTGTTGGAGTTTCAAAATTAGCCTTGTAAAAAAATAATAATGTTTAATCACATATCCTCTGACACAAGGCCGTGGCAATCATTATGGCAACGTTTTACTCGTCAGCTTATTGTCATGGTAATAAAAAATGTGTCAACATAAAAGTTGCATAAATTAGTGCTACAGCTGTTTCAGTAGGCCGGATCTGCGGCGTTGCCACATTTGTCTTTATGCGGTCTGGTGTCAGAGAAGGTTGTGGTAATTGGTCATTGGACATTCATCTGGAATCCATATAAGGCTTAAAACACCCACCAAAGTGTACGTCACTGTCTTAGAGAATTCAAGTTATTGGAATTGAATTAATGAATCTTAAGAACAAAGTATTAATAGTCAAAGGTAATACATAATGTTTTACTATAGGTAAGATTGTACTTACTTTTGTCTGAAGGCGTCAAATGTACAGCATAAACTGCATTTGACACCTTCAGGCAAAAGTAAGTACAATCTTACCTATAGTAAAAATATTAAAGGTGTCAAGGCTGATTATAAAATTAATTAATGCATAATGATTCTTTATTGATGAATTGTTGATATTGATAGTTTACGTGATATTGATTCAATGTTAATGGTTTTTAAGTGTGTTATTGTCCTTCACAAACATTTAGCATGTTTAACGTAAGTAATCAGATTTTAACTGTGTATACATTTTTTAATTTTTCCTAAAGAGTACAGCACAAGAAATATTTTTGCATTTTTTCCATGTAAAAGAAAGTGACTGTATAGTAGTTCAATATAAGTCAAGGAAAGCAATAAGTATTATGTTCAAATGTAAATTTTTCTAGTGATTTTCAAGTTCTGCAATTCAGATGTATTAACTTTATAAACGGGTTATTAATCCTATATAATTGAAATAAATATTAAATTTGATATGTTTGTGAAAAGATATTGTTTTTAGAGTTTATATTTTCTAACTCCATACTTCGGATTACTCTAACAACATTTTAATGTTTCCAGGGCTTACTTGGTGCAAGAAGCTAATGCCTGACGGATCTGCATGTTTCGTCTGCAATTTATGTGGCAAAGGCTATAAATATAAAAACTCAATGGTCTATCATCAGAAGTATTCATGTAAAATAACAAAAATGGTACAAAAACAATAACATATGTTGACAAATGTGTCAAACTGTTTAATGAGAAACATAATGCTTAGCGAAATGTTGTCACAATAATTGTACATTTTAAGAGACATTATTTGAAAAAATTTATAATGAATAAACTATTATAAAATAAAAACTGATTTATAAATTAACATATTTTAAAAAATTACAAATTTTATCTACAAAAAATATGATATCTTGGTAAGTCAATTTCCAGCAACAAAAATGAATAATGAATTTATTTCCTCAAAATGCTTGACAATCCACTGCCACCAACACTCTTGACTTTGTATTTTTGTAAAATGAATCAAGTTAATAAGATAAATTATTCCCATTCGTTGTGGCCTTTTTTAATATTGTGCTGCAATATATCTTAAATATTTACTATATTATTCAGAATATCTTCGTTTAAAACTAATATCCTACATAGATAATAGTCACGAGTTTCCAGAACGGTAATTCACACGCAATCGTCACAGAAACTTCAGGAAGAACTGTTAAATAAATTGTACACTGAACTCGTTCATAATTTCCTGTATTTAAATGTTACCAAATCTGTGTATACCATTTCGCTGTTATTAATTAAATATTTTCTTTTACATGTGTTAATATGTTTTATTCGTTAACAGACAGAAAACCTGTAATTGAGTTTTTTTGTAGTGTAAGTAATACTTCAGACTTTTTTTAAAGTTTGGATTCTAAAAATATAAAATTAAAAAAATAGTAAAAGTATTTTAATAAATGAAACTTTTTTCCCTAAAGTTACGTAAAAGTGATGAAGTTAGTAATTTATGAAAACAGAAATACAAATTCACCTGTTGTATGTAATAAAAATGTAAATACAGCCTAATCGAAACTTATATTCACACACACAAAACATAAATCAATCACACAAATTTCGCATTATTAGCACTAAAAAAGTCATATACATGAAACTTGTTTTACCCTCTTCAACATCAAACACCCCTAATAAATTCGTAAAGCTCACATGTTTCTTGAATGTTTACAGGTGATGCGTTAACTTATTTAGGAGATTCAACATATTCAGGAGATATGTCAACACATTCAGATTGTTCAACCACAATAACGCCTTCTGGAGACCTCATGTACGTCTGTCAACACTGTCCTAAACGCTACAAGCATAAGACTTCGCTCACCAAGCACCAGAAATATGAATGCAACAAAGAACCGATGTTTTTATGTGATTTGTGCCCTTACAGAGCAAAGCGTGCAAGTTCACTGAAATCACACATGTTTCTCATACATAAAATCATAAAAAGAAGTTCTGATGGGAAACATTAATCAAATTTTATTTTTTTTTATTTTTTTATTAAAACTGTTTAGTTATTTTTTGATGATTTTATTTTTCCAGTATATATTTGGTAAACATTGTTTTATCGAGTCTATTTGTAAGATTTTATTATTTATTTAGAGACCTGAGATTTTGTTGTTCATATTGTTTGAATTTTCTTGTTACGTGACAAAATAAAAAAATGATATAACATTTTCATGAATTTTATATGTGGAAACCCTTGACATTTATATTTGTAAGATGTTATTATTTATTTAGAGACCTGATAATATTTTTGTTGATATTGTTTGAATTTTCTTGTTGCGTGACAATATATCAAATGATATAACATTTTCATAAAATTTTAATTAGGCCTATGAACGTCTCTGAAAAATGTTTATGTATATGTTATTTATCAATAAAGTTGTTAAAAAAGTTAAAAAGTGTGCAATGAATCCTGCCGTATGTTTTAAATGTATTCCTAAGTTTATACCTAAATATTCCTCACATTATATTTAAACCTAAATTAAATTTAAAGTTATCCTTGATGCTGTTAGAAATATTACCTGGATTACTCAAGTAGCTTAAAAATACAATATAGCCTACTCCATCTTGGGTTTATATACCTTACGGAAGCGTTGGTAAACCTTCCTATTGCATTACACTTTTTTTGTTTTTCAGCAAAGGGGCAGAAAGATGCTGGCGAAGACGAACCAAAAACCAAATGTCTGTTTTGTAGAACACGGTTTACGACAAAAAATCAATTACGCAAACATGTACTCAGGTGTGAAAAAAGAAACACACAAAGTTGTCCTTATTGTAACTTCGTTTGTCAGAATACCAGGACACTGAAAAAGCATCAGCAACGCAGCCATAAACATGCTTTGGCTGGTTCCAGTAGTCTTCCTGAACATACTAACAGTGAAACTTATATACCCGCCGTCGATAAAGACAGTGTTGTCAGTTACAAAGAAAATGATGGTAGTGGCAAAAATAAAAGAAGTGAAATTATTACTGATGAAATATTCCAAGGTCCTACTGAAGAAGACATGACAAACATGCTTGAAAATGATGATCTCAACAAAACAGATGTTAACACTGTCCGTGAAAAAGATTCTACAGATAACATTTCTTCAGATGTCGAGATTAACAGTACATTGGATTCTTCCCTTAATAATAAAGAACAGCTGTCTCGGAATCAAAAACCCAATCGGGCATCCATTCAGGTTCTTCAAAAAGAAAGAGAAGTCGGAACAGCAATGAAGAAAAATATACGTTTGACAGGGTGTGAAGAAACAAAAAATCCTGTGAAAAGAAAGCGCATTAAACCGAATATTGTGGTTGAACCAAGGCAGAAGAAACTTGGAGAGAACTTAAATTTTCAGTTGTAGATATTATTAGTAATAACGGTGTATGACGTTACAAGTGCATTGTTTAATACGTATGATTAAGTTTTAAATTTTGTATGTAGTATAGTAGTAGTTAACCATTCACATTTTTATGTAATGAGACAAACTTAAAGTTTAGTACAGAAACTTGTGTTCAGAAACAAGAGGATTTTAAAAACAAATCAAAATCTGGATTGTAAATATATGAAGTGTGTTCAAAGTAATAATATATAAAACCAAAATGTATTTTTGATTGTTAATTATTTATATTTATAGGATGCTCTGATATAAATTATACAACGCTACAAAATTGTTCACTAAATAAATTACATTTAAATATCCGAACATAATATAATTGCATGGAATGGATTTTGACTGTAAAGTATTTTTTACAATAAACATTTTTAAGGTGTCTTTTGAAAGCTTTTGACCTTCCTGTGCGACTCCATTAGGATATACCGCAGTACTTCCTGCTTGTCGTAAGAGGTGACAGAAGGGGGGGGGGGCACCCATTCTTTTGACATCTCCCCCCTAGTCTTGAGTTTGGTTTATCCTTAGAGTTAACTTTTAAATATCCAGTGATGCTGACGTTATTTCCTTATAACAGTTTTAATGTGAAATTGTAATTTGAAAACAGATGATTCTTCCATTATTAACGACAGTCTGATTGTAAACAAGAGACAAAAAGGTTGATAAATATTTGATTTTAAATAGCTAATTAATGATTTATTAGGTATAGGTTAACACATTTAATTCATTGTAAATTAATAGTTTTACTCACCAACTATCTGTAAAAAAAAATGTTTTTAAGGTAAAAGGGTATTGTATAATTTGCTTTATCTCTGAAACAATTTTGAACATTGTTAAAATGCATAATTTGCCTATGGTTGCCTAAGTTTACAAACAAGAAAAAAATTGACTCTTAAACTAATAGACAATTGGACATTATAACCTTTTTTGCAGGTCCACTTAAGGTTCAAATACCTTATTTTTTACAATTATTGCTTGTTACTAATTTGCCATGTGTTGCTAGACACAATAAAAGAATGGATTCAAGTTCAACTTCTACCAGACGGCTCGGCTACTTACGGATGCAAGAAGTGTTCAAAGGTCTACAAACATGAAACATCGGTGTATAAACATTTAAAGTTTGAATGCGGCCAGGAGCCAAAGTTCCAGTGTCATCTTTGTCCATACAAGTCAAAACAGGCTGGCAACATGCGGACTCACTTGGCAATGAAGCATGGACACTTTAAAAAATGATGTAAAAGGGAAAGGTATTTAGATACTGAGCAGTAGATATCGTGTCAATTCTAGGTCAAACAGATCATGTAAATGTAAAAATGTCTTTTTAACCAAAAAATACTTCAACAATACTTCTACAAATCAACTATGCAATCTTAAATATAACCAAATATTCAGAATACATAATTACACTATTGACAAAAATAATCAGGAACATGTGGAAAAAATTAGGACTACTTTTTCTAGATAGTTTCGATGTAAAATATTATACTTATATTGTAATTTTAAATGAACAATGTATGGCTTTGTTTCAAGAATAAATGGGATTTCCTGTAGCAATGAAATATAATTTATTATATGTTACATTGCAAAAACAATATATCTAAATGAAATATTTTTTCTTACAAAAATATGTTTTATATTTTTTCTGTAATCCGCCTATTAAGTGTGTGTTTTATGTCTAAAGAGTTGAATAAAACCAGCAATAATTTTTACATTATTTTTGAACATTATTTCTGAACTTTCAAATGTATTTAACCCTCAATAGACAGCCAATAAAAAGCTCTTATTAGTTATTAGCCCTTGAGTGGTTAAAATAGAAGCTGGTTTGAGCCATAATATACAAACACTGGACATATTAACCATTATAGTTGGTAGTTGCAATTGAGTCACAGAACAGGTAGAAAAAAACTATTTAACCTAGCATGTTTGATCAGGCATAGTTTCTGTACCTAGATATTTGTGTTACATTTGTTTGGCAACAATAAATATTCTTATATCACTAGTTTTGTTAAATATTCAACTAAAGTTATATTGAAAGTAAAGATTACTTTGTAAATAGCAGTCTTTCTTTGCAGATATTAGACCGAATATAGTGGAGCGGAGGATGACAGATGGTTCAGTGTTGTTTAAATGTAGAATATGCGGCCATTGCTACAAACACAAACCAAGTATCTACAAACACCTCAGGTTTGAGTGTGGAATCGCCCCTAGCTTCAGCTGTTCAGTGTGCAGCTTCAAGACAAAACGACCTGAAAGTCTGAGACTCCATGTGATCAAACTGCACCAGTTAGACATTCAGTAGAATATATTTTAGTTATCATGTTGGATTCTGTACTAGTTTTGATACAAATTTTGAACAGTGTTATTAGAATTATTTTGAAATTGATAGAGTTGAGTATCTGAGAACATTAGAATCCAGGGGCTGATAGCGAAAACAAAAAAGTCACACCACAGATTCTTCACAGATATTTCGGTTTTCCTTTAAGATTTTCCAGATATTTGGGTTCCTTTAAAGAGCAGGTAAAGAAAAAGGTCACTTTTTATCTGAAGTTTTGAAATTGTATCTATTAGCTTTCGGTCTCTAATTTACTTAGGTAGGCTAGCTGAAGTCTTTGTTTAACAAAATTTCCTAATCAGCGTTTCTAAGTTATAACATTGTTGGCAGTAATTGTTATGAATTTTTTGATCTGTGAATCTCTTCTTGTTATTTATCAATTTCTAATAACAGATTCATATTTTGACTGATTTATATTTTTGTATCTACCTAACACATAGCCTGTAATATTTGTTTGGTTAAATAAATTATTGATTTGTGCAAGTATTTTTTCACTGGGTTGATTATCATTAGAGATATACCATTAGAGTATTTCTTTAAATTATACCAAAGACTATTATTTTATCGTGCTGTTTAACTTCCACAAAAAATCTGTTTTATTAACGTAGACCAGTTTAGTTTTACACATTAACCCTTTGAGGTAGAATTTTTTCCACATTTTTTGGAGAAATTAGCTTGCCATTCAAACAGTCAGAAAAATGGCGCCCAGTGACCTATACTCGCCATTCGACCGCAAAGGGTTAAAAATGCGTAGTATGTGAAACATATTGTCTCTATTTAATTAAAATACCCAAAATAAAGGGTTATTTTCAAATCTTTTGTTTTACTTTTATAACATGATATAGTAGAGTATATATTTTATAAACTCTATAACTATGACTAATTAAATGTTTGCTGAATCATTTTTAAAATAAAATAAAATAATGTTTGTATACTTCTAGTATTTGGCTTTGTAATACGTGTCATGAATGTGATCTTAAAAATTGTCGGTCCTTTGAGGATATTCTTACAATGACCAAGTACAAATTCTACATTGCTAACACTCGTTGGATAGTTTCATACAATCAACTAAATTGGCCGAATGCAACCACTTAAACAGCTCAGAAACTTCTGACTCGATTAACTTTTTTTACAGCCCCGACCAATAAAGATGAGCCAGGAAGGGCTAAGACGTTCGTATGTAACCGCTGCGGCCGTCAATACGTGTACCAGACGTCCTTAAGGAAACACCAGCGTCAGGAGTGTGGAGTAGAGCCGATGTTTAGATGTAATTTGTGTCCTTATAAAGGGAAACAGAAGAGTTCCTTGCAATCTCACATGATCTGCAAACACAAGATCCTGTGAAATACGTCCTTGTAAAATTATGTGGCTACAAAAAAACCTTTATCTTTCCTAGTGTTAATGTAAAATGTGAGTTAAGTAAATGAGAACTGATATGAAATTGATTAATATTTATATATTCCTGATGAGTTCAACAAGTTCTTATCAATATGACTTGGTGTTTAGGTACTGTAGGTAGAGAACTTTCATGAAGAACTTTCATTGCTTAGCGAGCATGCAATTCCTTATGTATATGAAATACGACAGAGGAAGTTAAATAAAGATATTTATTCGATAAATCTAAGGATGGTTAATGAATCAAATCCTTGACACAAATAACAATATCTACGTTTACAAACAATTGTGTTATTTTTTCTATAAAGTTTCTTGGGTTTATTTTAATTTAAGGATTTTTGCAAACATTTGCCATCCCGAATTGATGAAACTGAGGTTTCTCATTGTTACAGCATTTGCAATTATTTGATTTATTTTCTTGGTGGGAAGGATCCATGAATCAATGTCAAAGGTCTTATTTATTTTGTACATATTATAAAGTTTTTCCGCTCAAGGTTTATGTGTAAGGCTGAACCTATCTATGGAATATTCCTTTTCTCTTTTACATTTTGAGTGTGTGCCAAAGCTGAGAACGGAAAAAATTGGAGCAAGTGTCATAAAAAAACCGGTATTTGTTATAAATCTTAGTTGTCATCAAGACACAAATAAAATTAGGCTTTCACACTCTCTGTTAACTGTTTTACTTTTATTCAAGGAAAATGTCTTATTTATTTTTGACAATGTGATAGGTGGTGATAACCTAATTTGAAGAAAAGAAGTTGCTTGAGAAGTAATAGAACCCTTTTTTCTCCTTTGCAATCGAAAAAGTCTACTTTCTGTATAGAGTGATTTCAGAATTCTTAAAATTTCTGCCAAGGAACTAAGTTAATTGTTGAGTTTTATTTGCAGGGGTGTGGCCACAAGGGTATTCTTGTGAAGTCTGCTCCAAGACATACAAGCATAAATGTTCTTTGGTCCTTCATCAAAGGTATGAGTGTCAAAAAGACCCTCAGTTTGCTTGTACAGTGTGTTCTTACCGTGCCAAGAGGAAGAGTCACATACAATCTCACATGGCCATCAAGCATAATATTCTACCACCGAAGCCAAATGAAGATAATCAAGAGCTCGACTGATTTTCTGACCAAGATGGACATCAAGCATTATAAAATGTTTGTATGGCACAAAGTGAAGGAAACTCTAAATGAGCATTTGAAAGAAGAAAGCTTTGGCAATTCAACGTCAAAGAGATTGAAATGCCAATTCAGTACTAAATCCTCTCTGATTGAAAAATCAAGTAGGATTTTGTCTATACAGCACAAGATGAACATGGACAATTTTGTTGGAGGCTGATATAAATATATATTGAAAGTTACCATCCTACATGGATGCTAAACATAGTGTCCATCCAGTATTCAGTTCATTTAAAGGTTACTAAAGAAAGAAGAGTATTTAACACACACACACTATGAGCTAAACTCTACTTCGTAGTGTGTTTGAATCCATTGCTCAAGAGACACGGGATGGATTGTGCACTGTGCAGACATGATTTATTTTGGCAAGGGCTGTTAAATTTCCTTTATTGCTATACATATTACTTAGTATAAAATAAAGAGAAATCTGTTAAAACAGTAGTTTTTTTCAATACTCATTTTGTAAATATGGTGATTTTGTATGTCATTGTAAATTTTAAGCATACATTGTTAGTAAATATTATTTCAAAATTTGGTCTCTTATTATGTCACCTTTTCCCCGAGAAATAGTCTTTGTGTGCGATTTTCGTTAGTTCTAGTATCTCTTTTGACAACTTTTTAACATTTTAAACATGCTAACTCCATGTTTTATATTTTAACTTAAATATTTAAATAATTTAACAAGTATTAGGCTTTAGATTTCAAACGATAAAAAATCGATTAATTGGCCCATTCACTGTTTAATAAAACCATATCCTATTCTAATTCAAGGCAGAGGCGTTGGTATGTGGAACGTCACGCCTTGGAAAGTTCAAACGTGTGAACAAAAACATAACAGCGCAGACTCTTTATAAAATAATGCAACGGCTGTTTACCAGGACAGCGGTGTTGCCAGTTTTGTCTTGCCTTAGCCTCGTATTAGAGGAGTGAGGAGATTATGATAGGACTTGTAATATTGCCTATAATATTTTGATCTTATTACATCAATTATTTCACCATTTGTAGTGTAAAGTAGCCACGGCGTATTGGATTTATTATTTATATTTCAATAGAGGAAACTCATGAAAACTACTTGAAAGTAATTAAGAACTTCAGACTGAATATCTTTTCGTTTTGTGTTTAGTTTTTAGTGGCACATTTCTTTTTCATATACTTCATACATCTGTAGGTATATTTGTATGCATGTGTGTTTAGAGGATTATTTTCACATTTTAGTGCAGCTTATGAATGTTGTTGCAATTTCACATTCTGCAAGTGCTGATAACCATTGCATTACCATTGCATTTAAGCGATGCTGTATGTTTCATTGTAAAAGGTATTACTTTGAATCCATTGAATGTCATTGATTGAACTTATAATTGAATTAGATACTGATGTAGACATCCCATATATACGGATTAGTTGTAACAATTTCTTTCAAAGATAGTATTTCTTTCAAAGTAACATATCTACTAATAAATGAATCTGTCATAGAGTTTGACGGATACTAAAGAGGTATTTCCAATTTTAGTTTTCATTCTGAGATAGTTAATGAGAAGTTGACAGGGTCCCACAATATCGTTAAATATTTAAGTCTAAAAATGTAAACATTAAAAAGCCTTAGTTAAAAGCAGCAAACTTCTTTGGTAACTCAACTAAACACATTTTTTAATTCTTACTGTGGTTACAGTTTGGGAATGAAATGTCTACTTTAATGTAGATTATTTAAATCAAATGGTTTGTCAAACACTAGATACACACATCAGACTTTTCATCTTTGTTTTCAATCGTGTTTTTAATCGAAAGCTAAAGCTATGAAGCATGCACAAAGTGTGTTGATTATATTTTGTATAGGTTAGTAAAACTGTGCTATAACTTAATATTCTGTACTTTTCCAAGAAAGATATGTGGTAAGTTTATTTTTTACATTGATTATTTAGTTAATAACAACAATAAGTAACATTTCACTTTAAAACTATTATCAAATTTAGTTTCTTTAAAACTGATCGTAATGTTTTAAGTCTTAGTGACAAAGTCGTTGTAAACTGTTAAACAAAATCTGGCATAATAATCTTTCATATTTTACCTCACATACAATCTTGGCTTTTTGAGCTGAGATCATCCTAATATTTCACGCTAAAGCTACGTTTCCTTTCAATGCTGTTCAACAAAACAGAATACGCTGTCACAAAAATCACAAAATTGTGGAGATTTATGCATGGATGTTAGCTGAAGAATCCTTTTATCCTGTTATGTTTTACTACTACTAATGATCATAGGAGAAGTTATTTAGCTGCAGAAAATTATCAAAAACATTCTCCATACCTTATAAATCTTCCACTAATTTTCAAATTGAAAGTACGCTATTTAACAAAACAACTTTATCCCCCATCTTAGCAATTCACAAAAGACACTCTTCTAGAGGTAGTGGGGTAGTAAAAACAAATTATTCTCAGCCAAACTTAATGTTGACAGGTGTTGTGGAGAGTGAAGCAAAGGGGATATCTCAAGCTTGTAAGACTTGCGGTAAAGTTTACAAGCGAGCTGGCTGTTTGAAGTCCCACCAGGACGATTGTGTCGTCGTCTACTGCCAGAAGTGTTTGGTTCGATTCACGAGCCTGAAGGAAGTCAGGACTCACGAGGTGGTCTGCAAAGGTAACAGTTATAGCTGAATTTCGAACGATTTTATATGCATTTATTTTACTGGATTTTTAAAGTGTATCTAACGGTTTTTAAAATCTAAGCCAAAAATATCCGATGATTTGTTGATAACAAAGATTAAAACTAAGATCGTGCTATCTAATATATCAATATGAATATCCCCTGTTGAATGTTTTATACAAATCTGGGTGTTTTATTTTTACCAAACTTTTGCAGTATACTGTCGCTAGATGAAAATTTACTCGTATATTTTTTATTTGTTCATTTAACCTTTTTTATTAAAAGAGTTTAAATGAATGGGGATAACTAAATGGTTATATTAATCAGAAAGTCTCCGGTTCTATTATTAGAAAAGTCAGTAGTTTTTTGCCAGTTAAAACAGCCCAGCTGTCTTGTATCATCGAGCTTTTGCTCAATGGATCAAACTAAATAAACAGGTGGCCTTAGTCATGGACGACCACGTAAGAAACCTCACCCCATCTTACAATGACTCTTCACTCATATTCTAGTTAAAATGTACAGAATTCTTCAATTGTGTCAGTGATACGACAATGAAACAATATTGTGAAATGTCTTCTCGTTTTTCCAGGTTCAACAGAACCGATTCACGTTTGCTACGTCTGCCACATGAAGTTCAAATCGATGAAGCATCTTAAAAGACACGTGTCCATAGAATGTGGAAAACCTGACATCTCTTGTTCATTCTGCAAGTTCAAAACCAAGCTGCAGCACAAATATATGAAACATATGTGGAAGAAGCATCCTAAGGGCTTTGAAGGATTACCAGACAAAGACGAAAGGGAAAACGTTCCCATCCAAGTTCATCCCCCTTCTAGAGATGTGGATAAAAAGAGTGACCAAGGTCCTCCCGAAGCTATCCCTATTGCACTCTTGTACCCAAACGTGGCATTGAACACGTTTCATAAGTAATCACAAAGTATTAAGTGTCCCCCTTAATAGCTTTTTCATCTGAACAATTTTTATTGTGAGTTAAGTGTTAAAGCTATCTCATTTTTAACCAAAGCTTGCCATAATGTAATCTTTTAGTCACCTTAGTAATTTTTAAGAGCCGTTTAATTTTTTTTAACTTTAAGTTGTATTTTCATAAGATGTGTGCTTAATCACTACATGGGCCATCTATGTTGACTCGTTAAGATATTATTTTGAGTTCAATTTCTTTATTATGTTATATGCTAAAAGTAAAACATATATTGAGTCCATACTTAAAATAATAATAACGAAGTTCTGTATCGCTAAGTGTCAAAACTAACTCATTTTTAATCAAATTGACCATAAGCTCTTTTATTTCAGTTTTTTTTAAGAGATTTGTTTTTGAATAAATTTTTCCAATTTTTTCTTATGTGTTTACGTGATGTGTGCTTGAACAATTCGTGGGCCATCATTGTTGTCTTGTTAACAAATTATTGTGACTTTGATTTCCATTTGCTCCATTACGTTTATGTAATATGCCAATGGTGAAACATTTAAGAACGCCATTTTGTACTGCATGCAAATAGAAATGCACTAATATGATGTCACAATAATATGATCACATTAGCATCTTCCATGAACTATTGGATATTCTATTGATTGTTTCGTTTGGTAAACTTTAGGCTGAATATGCCAGTCTTTTAATGATACCATTTGACTACGCCAAAGCTATTTTTTGTTGTAACTCCAACATTTTGAATCTAATTGAAAAAGTAGTATTTCATTATTTAGTTTTTTCATTGTATGGCTAACATTAGCTCACTTCAAGTCATTTCATTGCGGATAGCTTTCTGTTATCTAGTATTTCTTTAGCCATTCAACCGTTTTACAGTACTTTATTAATTATCTTTTCAATAGTATTTCTAATATTTTAAGTCACCAGTATTTCTGTTAAGTTAATTGCAAAAGTTATTATTTTACAAAGAATATATGTTTAGTTTTGGAGAACAATACCTGTTTCAATGAATCAATTTGGTATGCTCTTTAATATAATTTGTAAGCTAGAATACCTAAGTGTAATTAATGATACTAATATTAGAACTGCCTTGCCATTGAATAGTTGTATGTGATTGTTAGTTTTTCTCCTAGTCAGACGTAGGATTTACCTGATATTTCATGACGTTGGAATGAGTGTTGTTTTCATGTACTTATTGTACTACAGCTAGCTTAGCAATAAATGTAGGCCTTACTTGTATGTATGTTTACACATTTGTATTTCTCCATAATTGTTAATTATTCCGCAATACAACATGTCTGTGCATTAGCAATATTTCACAAAGAAACTTGATTTATCATGCTCTCTTTTAGGAATAGAAATTAATTCTTAGTCTCATAGATCTTGTATTGTAAAATAAAGTATTGTTCACAATTTTACTGTTGGGAATTAGTTTTGATCTTTATGTTTGCTATTTGTATGCTGGGCCACATAATTGTGAATATTTTATCAATGTATTTTAAAACTTGTTATTGTTTATAAAATTCGTTGATGAGATTAATGTTTTTAAGGTTTGAGCTTACATGTCCTATGGGCTTCAAAATATTAATACTATAAAAAAATATGGGCCAGTATTAATTCTAGTCAAAATAAGACAATTTGTGTAAGATATGATTTTGGTCAGCCTGTTAAATTTACCAAAGTATTTTTCCACTTTTAAATATTTAGTGAAACAATAATTAGTAATTAAGGGGAGCTTATTTAAATATTGTATAAATCAGCCGGTCTTTGTTTATTTACTGACATTATCTATAAAATGTATATTGTGATCAATGGGGTGACAATAACTAACTGCTGTTTTAGATTTGTAATAAAATTTTATTAGTATTACTTTGTAATACTAATTATTTCAAATTTTAAAGTTAAGTTAATGTAGAATATGATTCGAAAATATAACTTTTTAGGTTTTACTTTAAGTTATGATTCACAATATCGTTATTTCCATAAATAATTAACCAAAGCATATTTATCTTCCATCCTAACAATATGGTAGGGTAATTTAATATTTGATAACAATAGTTTCAGTAATTTTATTTTGGGCCGTTTTATTCATTAAGTGTTACAGTACAAAACTAAAAAAAAAACTCCATTGTTAAAATATTTTAATGTATTTTATTACTTTAAACCATAAACTAAAGTCTTTTAGATATTCATTATAATACAATTGTAAGCAATAACTAGTATTTATCGAGATCTCCAGTCCTTTTGAGACATAAGATTTGACAGTAAGGAGAACGGATCTTCTAGGAGATGTTAAATAACTATTGGTACTAAAATATGTATTAGGCTTTGTTAAGTAAGAATATCTTTTGTAGCTGTTAGACATTATAATACCAAATATTCTTGTTGTATTTTTATAAAACATGTTTATCACCCAGTTCAAATGCCTAAAGTAGTTTTTAACAAAGTACTTGCATGCCATCTTTTATCGAGCACTGCCAAAACTTCACATTCAAAGACTATTGTCTCTAAATATTTACTGTAATGTAATTGATTTGTATCCTACAGCTAAAATTGCATTGAATTTAAATTTAGGACCACTTTAATCTCTAAGTGGCTTCACACCTACAGTATTTTAGTTTTGGTTATGTCATAATTTAGTTAAAAAGTTAGAACCAAACTAGTCATTGTCATTTTGTTTAATCTAAGTTTTATGATTTGTAATTTAACTACCCAGTAGTAAAAAAAAACTCCGCTGTTCACCTTAAGTCTTTGTACCCCTCAGAATGTCAATGTATTTGAATAGTTTTAAAATAATTTGTTTATGCTTCTACTTTCCTGGATTGAAATAAATGTGATGTTGCTTCGTATGTTGTTAGTTTTTTTTTTATAAAAGCCTAAATTTATGATGAAAACTGCCTAGTTGTTACTCAATAAAGCTTTATTTCATGTTAAATGTGTATAATTGTTGGAGATTTTATAGATGGTCCTGGCTTAAGAAATAACTGGACATAATCAATACCAAGTCTTCACTTTTTTCTTCAATTATATGTCACTCATGTTTGGGTTAAATTTCCCCGTTTTGATCTCAATCCAAAATTATATATTATATTATTCGTTAACAAAAATGTATTGAATCATTTTGAAACCCATTAAAGGTTTCAGCTTTGTAAAAAATATATTTTTTTAGATAATAATGCTAAAAATGAAACTTCTATTAGTTATATATAATCTTTGCTAAATAAACTAATGGTATTTTTCTCAACCAGCACAATTCACCTTAGTTATTAGCTCTTCATACTTTACTAATATTCGGGTAAAAATACTCAGCACTGTTTTTCCATCTCAATGTACGGGTTTTAATGGCTAACTAAAAACTTAACAAAACTTAATTTAGTTTTGTAACATAACTCAATAAATAATCAAATTAATTAAGTTATTTTTTTTGTGTTTGTACGCCAGTGGAGTTTTATAGGTTTTGAAAGGGAACGGTCCAAACCCTGGTCTTGTTACCTAACGACGACCTTTTTGTTAGATAGCGTAATTAATCCATAGAGTTGTTTTTGCTTCAAATTAATTTTTTTTGGCACTCCGTTTATTTCCTTATATCCTCATCTAAGCACAATCGGCGCAAATAATCCTGTCTAACCTACCAGTAACTAACTGAACAATAACTACTAAACAAGTGTCTATCTACTAATACCCCCGCCGCAGCTAACCTGCTGTCTAAGCGAATTTCCATTTGGCTGAATTGCTTTTCAATTGATCTATTTAAATAAAATTAGGTTTAACGAGTACCTAGGTTTGCTGCTACAAGGAAAGTAATAAAGTGTGTGTTTTAAGTAAAATAATTATTGCTTAGTATAAAATGAATATATTTGCCAAGTTTGATCAAAAGATATCCATAAACAAGCAAACTACAACATTTTACAATATTCTCCATAAGAATAACATGGGGATTTTAAATTTAAAATTTTTTTAGTTTTCTCCGTAACCAATAACCGTACAAAAACACTTTGATATACTGAATTGTTTGTTTTTTTAAGCTTTTTAAGAAGGTTTAGAGAAAGATTGGGAAATTTTGTGTTTTGAGGGTCAAAAGTGAGAAAAACCAATTTTTACCCCATAAAAGCCTGTTCCCATGGTCCGATCATGCTGGATTGCGAACTCATTCAAGTTTATCCCGCCTTACACCTTCAAACCAAATTTCATCAAAATCGGATAAAAATTACTCAAGTTATCGTGTTCACGGACACACATATATATATATATATATTACACATACCTTGTTTCATATGTATTCATATGTATTTCATATGTGGCAAAAGAGTGGAGTGTTTTGTGATCGGTGTGGTGATCTATAATCTAGTCTGGTTCTTGGGATAGGTTGTCTGTTAGAGTGATGTGAATTGTGAGGTGAAGAGCTTCTCGATAAATTTTGTGAGTTTCGAGAAGTGCTTCTGAGCCTATATTTTTCAGCTCACCTGTCATATCTGTGATGAGGGGAAATGTCTCTTCTTTGTGTGGATCTTGAACGATGATAAGTTTCTTTGTGTGGGTTGTCCCTAGGGTAGTTTGTTTCATCAGGTTTGACCTTGAGGCTTAATAATGTATCTTTTATGTCCCTAAGTTCTAATTTTAAGTTGTCTAATTCGTCATTTTCATATGTTACCGACTTTGTTTGAGGTTTTATTAGGGTAACGCGTTCAGCTGAGGTTTGGTATTTTCTCTGATTTTTATTCCTAATAGCTCTTTGAGATTCAATTTTTAGCAGATTTTCGTTTAGCTGTTTAAGTGAGTTGTTTTCCATTCTCACTAGGTCATTACAAATCTCCGGTTTTATTCCCTGAATTACGAATTTTATTATTTTTGCATCATTCATATTGGGATCTATTCTGTGGGAAAGGTGAATGATTTCGTATAGGAATTGCATTGGAGATTCATTTTCTCCTTGTGTTCGATTTTCAAGGACCGTCTGTAAGTCATCAATTAATGCAACTGGGCTGAATGCTTTAATAAATTCAGACTCTAGGTTTGCCCAACTAGTTTCATTGTTTTCATGTTTGTAGAGTGCAAACCATTTATACGGGGTAGACGTTAAGTGTGTGGGGAAAACTTCAATTTTAGTTTTTTCGGACCAATGGTTGCACCTTGATGCAATATTGAATTTTTGAATAAATTCATGTACATCTTCTGAAGGAAGACCTGAGTATGTGCCTGCTTTTATTAGGGGAAGTTTCTCTTTTGACTCATCAGCCATGTTTTTGTTGGTTATATATGATTTAGGTTGAGATACGATTTGTGTTGATGTGTTAGGGGTTTCTGGTTGGTTGTGATTTTGATGGGTTTCTTGATTTAAGTTTAACGAATTAAAGCTATGTAACAATTGTTCGTGTTCTATTATTGACCTGTTTTCATAAAGGTTTTGTGAATGTTCAGGTCCAGGTTGTGTTAGGTCGTCAGAAGTGTGTGCAGTGTCATATGTTGTTTCTTGAAGTATTTTCTTGAATTTTAGCAAATCTCTAAACTGTTCTTTTGTTTTGTCTTCTAGTTTGTTGTTAAAGAACAAGTCTGTTAATGCCTCAGCAAAACTTGGATGTCTAAATGCAGTCTTGAAAACATCTTTGGTGAAAGCTAATTTTGTTCTTAGGTTGGCTAGGGTTTCGGTTTCAGGGATGGGTGGGAGTTGTATTTTATATTGACAAGCTAGTTGTAAAGCCTCAGTTTTGTTTAAGCTATATATGTCAATGTTAACAATTTCAAAATCTAAATCCATAAATTATATTTTAAGTTTTAGTAATGTGACAAACCTACATAAGCTACATTTGGTGGTTTTATTAAGGTTATGGGCCTAGCTAAGATACGTGTTTTTATTTGAGTTAGTGGCCTATATTGTTTTGTTCATAATCTTTAAGTTTTATCTTAAACTAACACCCTATACATTTTACGATTCGTGAGTCTGATATTAACTTAAGTGACTATAATTGACTATAAATAAACTAAAATAATTCACAAGTCACATAATTTGTTTCAAGATAATTTATTAAAATAAATGTAGGATCGTTATTGTTTAGTCCAAAATGAAAAGACAGCCTTCGCCGTGCGGCTGCCTCCACCATGCGAGTCCCATGCCTCACTTTAAGTTTAAGTTTCCTAAATGTTACACTCGCTTAGCTTAGTGAAGAGGTGTTAGGTTAATGAGACATAAGACTGCTTAAGGGTGTTACTCAACGTGTAATGAACAAAAATTTAAATTACGAAAACAACAAAAGTTAAAAGTGTTACAACAGCAAAAGAAAACTTTGAAAATGCAAAAAACAACAATAATAAGATAAATTAATTTGCAACGTTAAATTTACAAGAAAAGAAAATCAATTGAAAAATATAAAAGAATTAGTTACTGACAAATTATATGACTTTTATGTTTGACAAAGTTTTAGTTAGATATATTATTCTTTCTACATACTGTCTATTGTCCCAGAAGCACACACACCGATACATGCACTCCCAAACTCCCGATCTTCTTTCTCCGGTGGCCCGTGGTGATCTCCTCGATGTTTTCCTCCAGATCCTCCAGCTCCAAGAGTCTTGACCCCTCCATCTTCATCATTAGCCCTTCTCATTGGCTGATTACCGATAGGGTGTGTGGCTAATAGGTTAACGGTGTTTCTTGGAAGTCAGCCCTACCGGTCATCGCCTAGCTCACATCAGCTGGGAAAGGAATTTGTAAATCGATGCTCATGCTACTGTTCAACTCTGTTCACACCAACTGGTCGACTAAGTGTAATGTGAACAGAGTGTCTACATAGATGAGCACCGTGGGTACGGGGTTAATCCCCTTTCTTACAATATATATATACATATATACAAATTTGAACGAATTGTGTTTTTGGCCTCTGGGGACATCGAAATGAAAAAGTAAATCGGTCCCGGGCCTAAGTCTTACCATGAAACCTACGGTAATTGCTACTTCCCTATAGGGAAATTCGTTAAAAGCATAAACTTCATGTACTACCAACGCGTTTTGTCCAGAAGATTCAACAACACACCATCTAGGTATATACAATAATGATTAACTTTTTCAGGGCGTTCTCCGCTTTTCGCCGGTGAAGGCTTTCCGTGTGACAAGTGTCCGAAAGTTTATAAACACAAGAGATCACTCTGGCTGCATAAGAGGTACGAGTGTGGAATCGAAGCTCAATTCTCCTGCCAACATTGCGACTACACGGCGAAACAAAAGGTTTCCCTGAGGAAGCACGTGGCATTTAGACATCCCGAAATTGAATCTACACAGTTCCCTTAGCAATCAAGATAAATAATATTGATAAAAATGAATAAATATAAATAACTTTCTTGGCTGTATACTAAACTAAAAAAAAATTAGCTTATATGGACAGCTCTGCATTAAAAACTGTTTTTCGAAGATCATTTTTTATATCTTGTAGTCTTTTTTGGGAAATGGTAATAAAATGTTCGAAATAACAGTAAAATTATCTTATGTAAATCTTTAATTATTATTCCATTACAGTTCTCAAGAATGTTCCTTGGCAATTAAGAAACCTTATTAAGAAAAGCAATGCAATTACTTAGTTTACACAATCAATGGTGTTATGGTTTATTTACCAGTTTATATACAGAATTAATGTACTTTTTAATTCTTAGGTTTTGGTATTTTTTACGAATTTGTTGTTTTGTTGTAAGCTTTGTTTTATTTGTTTAGTCCTAAATGTAAATTTTAGTTTTAATAGAAAATCTTTTAAATTAAATATGATATGTATAAACATTATTTAAATAGTAAAATAAAACATATATTTTATTACAAATAACTACATTATTTTCCTCAAACATGCTATATCTTGCAAAGAATGATAACCACTATCGTAATATGCTGGGAAAAGTACGTTGAGCTCAGCTGTTCCCATTTGGGAACGTTTGCCTTTTTCCCATAAAATGGGGAAATTTCATGTTTTAGAGTGAATGTTTTTGCTGCGGTCATGTATGCATGGTACCCCTGTTATAATAATAAAACAATCTATGTTATATAAAAATGTGCTGTTATTTGAGTATAAAACTCTTAATAATGGTTACTTTACAGTACAGTAGATCAAGTTGTCAGTGTTCAATTCAGAATATAATTTTGAGAATTTAAACAGCCTTTGCTGTTCGTTTTTTAATATAGTTAAGATATATTCTTTTAGAAAAACCTTTGTTTGTAATATTTAACCACCTTCAACCCATTACCTAACTTTGAATGGTTTCTCTTAAAGTGTAATAAATGATAAGCTAATATATTTATTGAGTGAACAGTTATAAAAATCGGCCTACAAACTGAAATGTTTTAACTCAACAAAATGATTTTCCTTTTTTAAGTGTTAAGAAGGACTTCCCTTTAGAACTACTGTACCTCCACACACTAGCTTACTTCACTGTCTGAAGTTATTGTGTAACTTGAACCTAGTGTATAACTTGACTTATCCAATACCAATACCAATTTAATCCAATATCTATACCAATTTAAGAATTTCTAACAAACTTCTTTCCCTTTATTTTTGAGTATGAAAACATTAGTTCCATTAAGAACCTGGTCTTTATCAATCCACCTACTCCAGACTAACCTCTAACTTAGACAAATTTTCCAATAGAGTTCCCGCGGGAAGAACCACCGCCGACGCCGCAGTCTGAACGCTCCTTCTATCTGGAGAAGAAGCAGCGGAAGCCACGGACAGCCTTTACCAAACTTCAGATCATGGAACTGGAGAGGAGGTTTGAGAGGGATCATTATTTAACACCAGGGGATCGGGCTAGTCTGGCAGCCAGCTTAGGACTGGACACGACGCAGGTGCTTCTGTGGTTCCAGAACAGAAGAGCCAAACTGAAGAGGGACTTGGAGGAGATGAAGGCCAAAGGGAAGACTGCGGAGGGAGCGAGATGGAAATAGACAGTTTCATTTGGGGTTTTATTGTTCATTCTATTCATTTGAAAAGGTTTTGTGATTCCATGAAATCAACATTGAAAAGCTTTCAAATTTTTTAGCTTAAAAACTATTTAACATACAATGATAATTCATCATTATTTATAAAAAAAACTGAATGTAAAATATTATTTACATTTATGGTACGAATACAATGTTTTTTACAAAACTGCTAAATGTTATGGCACAATGTAAATTGTGCCTGAGGGGAGTGCTTTTTAGATTGGGCGAGGGGGTGCTTTTATATAAAGTTAAAATTAACCACTCATAAGAACAATAATTTTATTTTAGACTATATCTTTAGTAAAGGGAACAACAATTAAGCCAATAACCGTGAATAGTACTGAAACAATAATGAATAATATGATCTCAAAAAAGTACTATAAGATTTGTACAAGTTTTATCACTCTTCATAAGTTTATCTTCAAAGATATTTGAAGTCATCAATTTCACATGTTAAATCAGTTAAGTTTTTATTGTATTAATTTAAACATTCCTAAAAACATTCGTTATTTTAAAATTTTTAGCTCTTTCCCATTGTTGTCGGTTACCTAAAAACTATTTTTACAGTATTTAGTAAATTTAGATTTTTCTGTATTTTCATATATTTTTAACTGCTATTTTAGGTGCAGTTATAGTAAAAACCTTGTTGTTTATTTGATATTTTTGGTATGATATGCGTATTTCTAGTTTAAATCTCCAGTTCTCTTTTGTTTGTTGTTATTGTTTTATTTAATGTTTGATTTGTTCTTTTTGTACACTGTACAGAATAAAATCTATTTACTTACATTTGTATAATACCTCGCTTTACTATTCCATTAATTTAGCTATTAAATCTGATCAAATTTATAATTGTATTAATTTTTATGTTACCAGCTATAGCTTTTTATAAAATAAAAGTATTTGACAGATATTTTGTACAAATTGTGATTACACTTAAACACATCAAGTGTACACAGCAGTGTGGTTGTTTTTTATATTGTTGATGTAATTATATAATTTGATTTATTTGTGTTATCAGTATTTTTTTAAATACTTAAAATAGTTTTGGCAATAAATGTATGTTTTGAAAGAATCTGGTCATGCTAATTTTGCCTGCTCATTTTTATATGCAACATAACAAACATTAATGTATATCCAATGCAAATGGCTGTGGCCTATGTGTATATATTGACAATTTATACAGGATGTTTGAAAAGTTTATTCTTAGAGCTCACCTTTCTTTTAAACTTGCTATATCTTTATGGTAAACCTAAAACTCAACGGAATCTCTGAACCACTGGGTCAACATATCAAATTGCAAATTTCTTTATTCTACACTATTTGAGCCCAGTGCTCCAAAACAGAGTCCCAAGTTCTATGCTCTGCTTTGAAAGGAAACATTTACAATATATATTACCTTTTCATCTGGGTAAGGTTATACTGGTACTCCTGTAATCCAGCTACTTTGTGGTCACGAATTGTGGATATTTATAGCCATGCACTGTGGATGCGATACTACCTGGTGTGATTAACATCCGCACTAGTTAGTACTACGACGATCCGGAGTACTATCCTGATAATTAGACCGATTTGTTAAATACAAGGCAGAAATTGGGTTCATATTCCACTATAAACTGTAGTTTATAGTTGCCATTGGCAGTATGGGGTATTTAATTAACAGCTGTGTCTAAGGAACATGTCAGCCTTAGTCACTAACAAGACTACAAGATCGTGCCACTCATCCCACACTTATCTTCATTCATACTTGGCTTAAAATACTTACATTCGTACTAGTGGCTTGTAGGGGCAATAGCCCCTATATATATATTCTAGTTATTATTTTGTACAATTTATTAGTCTAATGGGTTACCCTACCTTGAATCATCGTTTAAAACATTTTTGTTTATTACAATATCTATAACAGTTATTACATACCTGCATAATGCATTTTGATGTCTGCTCTGTTTAAAATAAAAATTTTAAAGGACCGTTTATGCGGAGTGTTTATAATATAAACTTTCTTTAATAAAACACATAGATATAATGTCATCCTCCAAATTGTAAAATCCTAATTCTATAACAAAATCTCTCTGAAAACAACATTTTGTTGTATAGTACCCATTTAGGTCGATTCCTTGATCTTTATTTGGTTCTAGTATTATTTTAACATCATCTGGTCGCTTTACGCGGTTAAAAGCAACATAAAGTTGACCATGGGCAAACACTTCAAATAAATGCCAACTTGTGAAGGTTTGGCCTTGCGCTTTAATAATAAGTAATAGCGAAAGCTAATAGAAGTGGGATTGAATCCTTGTAAACTTAAACGGCATATTAGGCTCTGTAGATGTTAGTTTAATTTTTGGCATGAAAAATATGATCCCTTTGCCTACTCCAGTAATTAGTTCTACGTTTACACTTTTTTCAGACATACCTAACACAACCAATCGTACTCTATTAACTAATCCAGACCCTTAAATTGGGAAAAAGTATATTTCAGCTTTATAATCGTATACATATTGATATTGCATATTACCATATGCTTTTAAATAATGATAAACCACATGTTTTAAAGTAAACAAAGCCATAATTAACTGGATTCCTATGCTTTTTAAATTTGAATTTTTTTTTCCATAATAACCTTTTGGTGCATTAAGAAAAATGAATAATTTTCCCCAAAACTTCATGCCCAGACCTTTAAAATGAGACCCCTCCCAGCTTTCTACGGCCTCCCGTTCGCGCACAATTTCATTGTAAAATTTTGGGCTTACGGAATTAGATATATAGATGGTCACCATTTCAAAATAAAGTATTAAAGTATCTTTTTATTGTTATATCTTCTAATCCACTTATGTAATAGGTGTCTCCATTACCAACCTAGAAGGTTCTCAAGAGTTTGCGTGTGTGGAATGTGGCAAGATGTACAAACACAAACGATCGTTGTGGCTTCATCGGAAATACGAGTGTGGTGTCCCTCCTCAGTTTCAATGTCCTCATTGTCCTTATATGGCGAAGCAGAAAGGAAATCTCAACGCTCATGTAGTCCTTAGACACCCAAACTTGTATAAAATGGCTTAGGTTGAAACATAACAGTATTTTTCTTAATTAAAGTATATGAAGATTGATTGAGCTGTAAAAACTTAGTTAAGTGGTTTTTTGTTATGTTTGAAGTGTGGCTTAAATCAATTCACAAGGTTGTCTTTTATTTTGTTATAGAGTTTCGAGATTTTGATGTAGTAATGTATTCAAATAATTCATCTTGAACTGTTACACTGTGTTTTTGTATTTTTGTTTGATAAAGAGATTATATGAACTTTGATAAACTTGGTGTGTATTATTATACTCATTGACCTTCATAAACCATTTGCCCCCTTGGAGTTAGTAGATAGTTGGAAAATAAACAATCACTATTATGTCTATTACTTTTGTTGATAAAAACTGAAAAAAGAGTTTTTGAGAAAGAATTATTGTTTACCTCAATAGATGAACACATGATCGTGAACTCGTTTGATTATTGTCATATCCTGTTGAATTGTTTTGATATTTCAATGAGGCTGCTCTAAGGACTCTCCAACTAGGGTACTAAACCTAAACCTTGCCCGGGTCCCATTTACGGATACTATTGTACAAAGATATAATATAGTGGAGGTTTACACTAATATATATATTTGTGTAACTCGTTCTAAAATATTTCACAAAAAATGACTAAGCATTACTTAATACTATGTTTTGGTTCTTGGAATTAGGGAAGTTCTTTCATTAGGGAAATTATGGAAATCATTTAAATTATCATGTCTAAATTTGATTTTAGGTTAAAAAAAAAAAGTTTCTTTTCTAACAATCTGTTTCAATGTCACATTTTAGGTGTTGGCCGTGGATTTACTTGTCAGCAGTGTAACAAAGTATACAAGCATCGAAGAACTCTTCGGACACACTTAAGATACGAGTGTGGGAAGGAAGCCCAGTTCAAATGTCCATTCTGCCCTTACAGTACCAAACAGAGAAGCAATCTTAGAAAACATGTTGGGACCTTTAAACATCAAGCCGAGTTTACAGCAAATGGTTTTAATATAGATGACTTATAAGTTTTTGATGAGAAGACACTTCAAAATATTATGACCTTTCTTTTGTAGGGCTTCGCCTATGTTTTTTTCATGTGTCATCTAAAGTTACTTAAATGTCAATCCAAAAACAAGCAATGTATGAAAGTAGTTACGAGGGGTTCAATCTAATTGACACTTCTATTGCCATTTTACTAAGGCCCAAGTAAATACTACGTAGATTCAATTATGTATGAGTATAACCAATCTTATTTCTTAAACATGACTAAGTTTGGGTGGTCTAATACAATAATTCTGTTAGTTAGAATTTAAGTGATAAGTTAAATTGAGTTTGGTAGATTATTTTAAGTTTTTCAGTTTTTTTTATAAATAAACGTTTACTAACAAATGTGTTTGGGTTTTTTTGGTCCTCAAAACTGTCAATAACATAGAATGGAAGGTAAAAAGTAAACAATATGAAAACATCATCATGAACTAATTTGATTATCGGCATATCCTGTTGAATTGTTTTGATTTTTTACAGCCTAACTAAAATACTTGGGACTTAACAATGAGTCTGTTCTAAGGACTCTCCAACTAGGGTACTAACCCTTCTGAGGCCGCGGTCCCATTTACGGATCCTGTTGTATAAAGATTCCTACTAATATATATCTTTGTGGAACTCTTTCCAAAATATTACACAAATCAAACAAAATTACTTTAAACTTGATTTAATACAATGTCTTGCTTTTAGGAACTAGGGAAATTCTTTTGAAGTCGTCAAATGTCTAACGAATAATGTGAATAATCATGACTGAATTTGATTTTAGGTAAAAAAAGTAAGTTTATTTCCTAACAATCTGTTCTGAATATCACATTTTAGGTGTTGGCCGTGGATATCCTTGTCAGCAGTGCAACAAAGTATACAAGCATCGACGAACTCTCCTGACTCACTTGAAATACGAGTGTGGGAAGGAAGCCCAATTCAAATGTCCATTCTGCCCTTACAGTACCAAACAGAGAAGCAATCTTAGAAAACATGTTGGAATAAAACATCACGCTGAGTTTACAGCAAACGGTTTCAATTTAGATGACATAATATAAGTTTTTGATGAGAATACTTATTAACATATTAAGACCTTTCTCTTTTAGGGCTTCGCCTATGTTTTTTATGTTTTTTGCATGTGTCAACAAAAAATTTATTAAATGTCAATCAAGTATGACAAGCAATGTATGAAAGTAGTTGAAAGGGGTTGAAATCTCATTGAGACTTCTATTGCAATTTACTAAAGCCCAAGTTGAAATGATGTAGATTTAATTAAGTATGATCATAAACAAGCTAATTTAGTGATCATTTATAGTTCTGTATTTCATAATCATTTTGATGAACTGAAATAAAATTGTTTCAAATATTTCAAGTTTTAAAGTGTTTATAGAAAATAAACGTTGACTAACAAGTGTGTTTGAGTTTATTTGGTTATCAAACTGTCAATAACATTGAATGGAAGGTTTAAAAAGTAATATGAAATTTGCTTTCGGTGTGTTGAAAGTAAAATAGATGTATTGGATTAACCCGACCTAACATTACTTACGCTAACATTTTAACGTTCTTTAGCGATGTTAAAATTGATTGTATAAAACCTCAAGCCGCGTTGCCCAGCGGTCAGGAGCTCACTTTTTTGGGTAAATCCAATCAGAAATTAAATAAAATAGAGGTTTCTCATCTGCGTAAAACTTTTTCTGTGTTAGAAAACTTCTAATTGCATCGATTTCCTTGTGGTTTATGCGTTTGCCTCCAAATAGGAAGGCTAAGTTGGGATAGATGGATTGATTTAATTGGACCATTAAACATCATTGTGCAAAAGGTTTTGCCAAAGATAGTAAGCTAAATTTAGGAAACAAAAGGATACATGCAAAAACATATTGTTGGAGTGATTACTTTTTATCAAGCAGATTTCGGTTGCAGAACATATGCTTTTTTCATGTTAAACTGGACTTTCCTGATTATACATTTCATTGATGGCCACTGACGTAATCATAGCATCAGGTATAACCTTTCATATTTTAAACTTTAAGGGATAGATCCCAAGCAGAATCAATAGGCCTAGGATTTATTGGCAATTGGGCTATTTGTTAATTATATCATCAAGCTAACCATCTCAGCCAGACCGTGGGCGGGCATTAATTGCGCCAAATGACCTGAGTCAGGTAGTCGGTTATTCCTGAATTGCGCCAAATACTCCAAGGAGCCACCCGATACGTTCTTTAACTAAGCCAAATGGCGGCCGTCTTTGACTGGATAGTTTAGTAGGTTAGGTTAGGATGACACGCAAACAACATTTTCTACCGGCAACTCGCCCCTACCTTGGCTTGGCACAACTAAGGCAAATTTTTTGGGACCCTTTGAGGAGTTGGCGCAATCAAGCAACCCTGGCGCAATTAATGAACGACCTATACCGTTCCCATACGAACAAATCAAACAAAATATGCCAAACGGCGTTGAAACATACCAAAATCATTCTCTAAAACTAGCTTTACAACATATGCCGCTGTGATAACACCAGTGTCTGCACAGGTGGTGCAAGAAGCCGTTCGTACTCTTGCCACATCTGCGGCAAAATCTACAAGCACCCTCAGTCGCTTCACAAGCACCAGAAGTTCGAATGCGGGAAGGAAGCCCAGTTTTACTGCCCGCACTGTCCATATCGAGCTAAGCAAAAGAGCAACCTCACTTCACATGTTATTGTGAAACATGGATCAGCACCGATATCATAGTTGCTAGTAATTTCGTAAAATTTTTCGACCTTTTGTGATATATTTATATAAAATATAGTATATACAATATTTACAAGCTAATATTATTAATTTTCCCTAAACCTTATCCAATGACATTATAATTGAATATTATATTACGTTCAAATTAATATTATAATTTAACAATTCTTAGGCTAAATAGTGCTAGTCATAGTGCTGCTCAGTAAAGCTATGTGTATTTTGGAAATGTTAAAATTTGTATTTGATTTATTAAGGAATGGTGTTCTAAATGCAACATTAACTGTTACATTATACAACGTACGGTTGTTCGAAGAACTTAAAATGCTTACATGTGCACTTGTGGTAAATTTATAGTTCCCAGCTTTTAAGTATAGCTCTAGTAAAGGAGAAACCCTATAGCAATTGGACTTATACTAAAAATAACACCTTTATATTCCACAATATAATATTCCACAATATAATATACCTTTATATAAAGTAATATAAAGGTATAATATACCTTTATATTACACAATATAATATTGTAGCGTTGAAAATTTATGTTTATATTTACAGTACACAGTTAAATAACCGACTACATTAGTTAAAAACAATATATAGGCATTTGTGAAAATCATGTCAAAACCTCAACTGGATAAAGGTAGCCTATATTATTCTTACTAGAAAAAAGATATTAATGAAAGTTGTTTTTCAATTACCTTTATTATTTTTTTATACTCAAAAATAAATGTAATTAATTAACTCATTATTTACATTTTGCAGATTTTTTGTTACAAGTCCTGGACCAAAAGAAGTTTTCTTGTACTACCTGCGGCAAAACCTACAAACATCGTACATCTCTGTTTAAACACAGAAAATTTGAGTGCAACAAGGAAGCCCAATTCAGTTGCCATATGTGTAATTTCAAAACTAAACACAGCTATACTCTAAAGACTCATTTTGTACTCAAGCACCAATTTTCAAATACTTAACAAAAGATGTTTGGTTATGTTCAAAGGAATAAGTTTTTGTTTGTATTTCAATCAGTTGTGTACAATATAAAGATATTTTTTTAAAATTGTGTACTTATCAATTTTGTATAACAGCAATAAACCTTTTTACCCTAATTGTTTTTAACGAGATAATTTTGTTTCAATTTTACTCATAAATCGTAATTCTATCGTAATTTGAACAGGGTGCCCTGCCCTTTTCTATTGGTTTGTGTAAGACTTCTTTTTAGGCGGGAAAACTTTTTGTGTGCTACGGCCAGCGCAACACCGGATATTGTTTTCGTATTAGTTGGCCCTTGAAGCGCTGGAGTCGACTAAAACTTTCTCTTTCGGTGACGAAGACTCTTAAGTCCGCATTTAAATCTTGCAATGACTTTTCATGGTCAGAAACCCGGTGGGTCAGAGGTCACACATTATTCTGCATGTTTACATAAATAACAAAAATAAAATGGGCTAAATTAGATTATTTGGCGGTGAAAGAACAAAAATCTAGGTTAAATGAAATTTGACATCAGTAGTAAGAATTCAGGTTGATGTCTTCAAATTCCTGTACTAGCTTTTAGCAAATTTGCTTTAATGCATTTATTAATGGTGTGGGAAAAGTAAAGAAAAGCTTCCAGCAATAGTTCCAATTCCATGGGAATAGTTTTTAGTATTAACTTTATTTGGTGTTCGTTCAAGGTGTATTAACAATGTTTTAGCTATTGGATTTTTAATCAAAGGTGAGTTGGTGGTATCCTAATAATAGTTAAAAATTTTAAATTTTAAGTTTATACCAGACAAATAAAATTTTTTTAGAATATTATTATACTTAGTTTCTGGATTCAAATTATAATACCTATGCCAGATTTAAGCGTGGTGTAGGACCAATAAATAACTAAAATTGTGTCTTATAATTTGTCAAGCTAATCAACAATAAGTTGATGAAAAATTGAGGTAGTGTCCACTCAATGTAAAAGATATGATTTAATTATAAATCATTTGATCAGTGGTTTTACTTCCAAGTCCACGACTAAAATGTAGTACACAATCGTTGTAATGTTTCTTTGTCATAAAGACATTATCAATGTATTTCAGTAAAATAAACACATTTGCATTGTACATTTTGCAAGGAAATCGTCCAATTGTCCTGGCTTTTGCGTATTATCTGAACAAGATCTATTTCTTAGTATTGAACTGGTGAATCCGACACTCTTTTTATTCTGTGACCCTAAACTATACAAGGTAACATAATTTATGGCCTCTTGTTGCAGGTGTTCTCCTATTGACAGAGGACAGCAGTTCATTCCCTTGCAAAGGCTGTGGGAAAAAGTACAGACACAAAACTTCTCTCAGCAAGCACAGGAAATACGAGTGCGGGAAAGAAGCGCAATTTCAATGTCCCCATTGTCCGTACAAAGCTAAACAGAAAGGAACTTTAAAGTCCCACGTGCTTATTAGGCACACTAATGAGTTTCCTTAATTGTTTCTGTTAATTGGTTTGTGTTTTCTGGTTGAATTTAATATTTCAATAATGTATAGCTATTGTCTTTTTCTGATTTCATTTGTGGTTTACTAAACAAGTAGGCCTACTTAACTATCCTTTACATATGATATGTAAAAAAAAAAAATAATAATGTAATTGTGTGCAATATTTACGGTAAAGAATCACCAAAACAATGTTTTTGAATACAATTCCCTTAAAAAAGCGTAAAAAAATTATTATATAGTACAACAGAGTTATAAATTATTCCATGTATATTAAAAATTTAAAAGCTCCTTGTATACTCAATCCACAAAGTCATGCGCTTGGGATGTGTCAGTTAAAAAAATTACACATTGGGTTTCAATTTAGGTTTAAATTAAAAAGTTCATTTACAGCTTAAATCAAAAGAGGTTTCAATTGTTATTAAATAATTATTTTTTAGAGAAACCATTATTTTCCTCATGATAACTAAGGTTCACTTATTTGGCTCTTAGAGTATTTATAGTATACGAAAACAGTAATTTTTGTACTTAGAGTTATTAGATATTGTTGTTCAATTATATGTAAATACGTAATTCTAACTATTGATAATTGTTTCCAAAATTTTCTTTTCTAGTGACTCCCTTAATATTGTGATATTATCAATATATAAGCAATATCAGGATTTTTTTAATATACTTCATGTACATAATACATCTTTTGTCACAACAGGTTTACAAACGTAGGTTTTATTTCTATTTTGATAGGGTTGTGATATTACTTTACGGCTAAAAACAGTTTATTGTATTTTTTCAAACTCAGTGATGAACTATTGGATAGTATTATTCATTGATGTAATCAAGAGATAAACAATAATATTGCTAAACAATATTGTTTCTCATTTCTCACCCTTTTTGCCATACATTTTCCCAACTTAAATTATGTCAAATATGCATTTTTTTCCTTGTAAAACTAGATCTAATTTTCATGTAAAATGTTACGAAAGGGTTATTTTCTTGTCAAAAAAAATATATACCACTAACGTACCGGGTCTCCAGATGTAAAAACTTGTGTTCCACATAATTTAAAATTGTTATGTAAATAAAAAATACTGCTTATAGTTATATTATACAGTTCTTTGAGACTTGCCTAGAACCACTTGTCTGACATTTTAAACTTATTTGTGTTTTGCGTTGCTTAATTTTTAGGTAAGTCTATTTTTTAAATGTTCATATCTGCCCCCATAATAACTGTAACACTGCACTATTGGTGGTAATAAAGTCAAGGTTATTTGAAAATTGCACTTGTTTTCAAAGATGATTTGTTGATGAGGGTGTGTTATTGTTGTTCCACTATAATTTTAATTGAACTATTTTTCCTCCCAATAATTCTTTTCCTATTTGTTTACCAGATTTGAAGATGAACACCATGTTCCCTTGCAGCAAGTGTGACAAGTTTTACTCCCACAAACGATCTTTGTGGCTTCACAAGAAGTACGAGTGTGGCCAGCTGCCGAAGTTCCATTGTCCTTTGTGTCATTACAAGGCAAAAAGAAAAGGAACCCTTAAGGATCACCTCATTTTAGTCCATAAACAATCCATTTCTGCTGTGTGATTTGAAATATATTTTTGTTTTTAAGAATTATATTATGGTCCATTTACTTTAAAATCCTAAAACACACCTTTCATTCCTAGACTAGGACGGTGGCGTCGTCCTGTAATCCAGCTACTAGGAGGTCACGAATTGTGGATATTTTTAGGCTTGCACTGTGTATTGTATGTAATACTTTCCGGTGTGGATAAACGTCCGCACTAGTGAGTACTATGACTATCCACAGTACAATCTTGATAATTAGACCAATTCGTTAATTACGAGGCAAAAATGTGGTTCGGATTCCACGTCCATTGGTTGCCATTAACTGTATGGGCTGTTAATTAACAGCTGTGTAACAGCACAGTAAACTGTGAAATGGCCAATGAGTTCATTAGTAGTAAGTAAATGAGTATTCTGGAGCTGTGATGTAATCAGTTGAGATGACTGATGCGCGGAAGTAACGTAAACCATGTATTTTAAAAGATAAGACGGGTTCGAAACGTAAAAAGAAATAATCGTGATGACTTTATTTTAAGACAAGGGGTAGTAACTTAGGTGAGCGAAGTCTAAGATCATTAACCAATAAGTGGATTAAAGACAGTTACCTGGTAAAGCATGGCTTTGACATCTTTTATCTTTTGAACAATTAATATTCATAATGTCTCTTTTAATTATAATCATGCCATTTCAATATAGTTTCTAAAAATGTACCCCAATACATGATTTTATAAAACATTTGTATTATTCTACATATGTTTGCTGTTCTAAAACATGCTACATACCGTATTATTAATGTGATAACGTTATATACATACAATAACCGATAACATGATTACTGTATGTATTAGTGTGATTTGACACTAACACAATACTACTTCTAATCACTACTATTTAGATGACCCTCTCATAATGATTTGAATCGATCACAATAAGCTATGTCAAGAGCTATATGAATGAGACGGTAGCGATAGAGCTAATGTTGTTGTGCTAGTTGAAAGTCTTGACATCCTAGTCAGGCCATCTAAAGCTTTATTAAATTATTATATAACTCATACTACAAACGTGTTATAGTTGAACCACACACATTAACACTCCTAGATCATAGTTCTGAAACCATACCCAACCTTGAGTTTTAAAAGCTTGTTTTAAACATCTAAGAGAGAACTCTAAACATAAATCGCTTCTTCAGGTATTCCTGGTCACGTCTTCCCTTGTGCAAGATGTGGACGAGTCTTTAACGCACACTCCACCCTCTACAAACACATGCAAGACTGTGGTGTAGAAAAGGATCTTGCACAGTTCCCTTGTACAAGATGTGGTAAAGTCTACAAACATCAGCCATCCCTATACAAGCACGTGAGGTACGAGTGTGGCAATGAAGGAATGTTTCAATGCCCATTTTGCCCGTACAAGGGTAAACAAAGAGTTTCCATACGGAAGCATCTCATCATCAAGCATCGTCAGAGTGCTGATGAGTATTTTTCTACACTGGACAAATTGCAGGCAGCAAGAGCGTCAGAATGATCGAGTACTTGACAGAAAGTCTTACAACATCTCGTCATCATGCATCTGAGTGCAAACAAGTATTTTGCTATGGTTTACAAATTGCAGCCAAAAAAGCGTCTGCAGAAAGAATAAATATTTTGTTTTGTTAAATATTGAGATTTTTTCTTATTTTCAATGCTGTCTTCTAAGTGATTATTGGCGAAGTCTAAGGCAGAGGAACTAAAATCTCTCTGAAGTGATAAAGTATTATAAAAGCTTTCTCCAATCAATCATGTGGTTTTTTTATGTCTTTAACAAATAGATAAACGAGCGATGTTTGATCTCTGTTTGTGACATTAATATAAGTATTGTAGTACTTATTTTTACAGTTGATTAAAATATTTTTGTACTTTTATGTCTTATGATTTATTTCCTATTGGTAACCGCTTGCTTTCACTATTTTAAGGATTTAAATTGAACATGAATAACGGGTAAATGTATAATGAAATAAGATGACTTTTGTCAAGACGTGGACTTTTGTAGCTTTGTTCCTGATTAAATCAGCTGTTTCTTGGCAGAACCAAAAGCATTTATTAAGGACAAATTCTGGTTAAAAGTACAGTGACCTTGAATTTGGATCGACTGTTGATTGGTAGCATAACCTAAGTAATTTTTCGGTGTAATTTTTCGGTATAGCAAAAAGGGTTTGCATTTAGTTATTTTGGGTTTAAGTAGTTCTTTTGATCTCTTAACAAAAGTATAATTTTGGAGGCCTCTGTACTTTTTTCATATTTTTTATTTGGCCGCTGATTATGCTGAAGAAAAAAGGTCCGATGGATAACAATATAATCGCTTCGTTTTCAAACTAGTCACATCGCATGTTCCTAAAATAACTTTAAAACTACCCACTGTTGACATTAGGTTAAATTTCACAAATTGAAATTTATTATGGTGTTTGTGGAATAATAAGTCTGGTAAAAATTTTTGCTTTTAGAAAAGAACAACATTAAATTAAGATGTATTATTTCGTCATTCTGCAGAAAACAGTAGTATCCAACACATGTTCTACCGTACTTGTCTGAAAAGTGACCTGTTCTGGGACAAGATGGTGGTTTACCGCCCCTTTAAAAAGGATCAATTATCAAACCCCAAACATTTCTTTAATGACGAGTAGTGAACGATATCTTTAAACACAATGCAAAAATCACACAACAAATACTCTCTTCTTGACTTTTAGCCCAATTGAAATGTAGAAAGATCCTAATTTGCATAGGTTCATTAACTTTATTTTGTGTCGAAGAGTCATTATTTAGATCCAGTTGATATAAAAATTATTTAATCACTAACACTAACATGCATCTTCCTTGCTTTAGCAGATTTGCAGAACTACACAACTGAGGACGGCTCATTCAAATGTATCAAGTGCCAGAGAGTTTATAAACACAAGTGTTCTCTTATCCTGCATCTCAGATATGAGTGTGGCAAAGAGGGAATGTTCCAATGCCACCTTTGCAACTACAAGGGCAAACAAAAGATATCGCTCGTAAGACATCTAATTTTTAAACACAAGATAGCAAACCCCGATGTTTAATGGATACTAAAATTGTTAAATATTGTTAAAATATTTGTAAAAATTGTTAAATTGTTAGATACAAAAATCCCTAAAACAATTGATTGGGGTTTAAATTACTTTAAGCCACTTTATATTACTAGTTGTAGTGCGTTTTCAATTTTTCCTTCCTTGTCAATTCAAACTTTTTATCCAAGGACTAGTATTTTGTTTGTAATTAAAGAAAATGTTAAATAAATTAATTTATGCTTTTCTTTGATAAATCCTTGACCATTTAGACTGAAGTAAAACAAGCTGGAACTAGCAAATAGAGTTCATAGCCATTATGTTTTTTTTTCAAATTTTATTTGATTACCAAAACATTCCATCCGTGTGTTGTGTGAGTTATTGCATGAAACTAGTGTTTAACTTTTCATTCTTTAATCACTTATTGATACTTGGTCTTTGATTCAGATCTTTATTGGACAGAACTTAAGTATTTAACTTTAAATCGGCATGCAAAAATACTATGATAGAAAATGATTACTCAACCCGATATTTAATGTTAAAACAAATTTTTAGAAAGAAAATGAATGTTTCCAGTGACCATCCAACATTTAGAAAGAGTAAATGTCTACTTTGACAGTAGGGGATTGTCTAGAAAAAAATAGTCGGGCTTGCAGAAACGGTGTTTTCCTTTTAAAATGTCAGACCCATTCACTTTTATAATCCGAATCAATTTTGTTCCTGCTCTATCTGGATTTACAAGGAAACCTCATGGTAATGATCGTAAAGAGTATTTTTAAATAAACATTTCGTTGTCTTTGTCTTGAATCATTTTATGTAATTTCTCAGGCATTTCCCCTTTAGCTTTCGTTAGAAAGTAACGATAAAAATATATTTTAGGAATTAACTTAAGGACCTTATCTTTAAACCTTTTTTATTTGCTTTCATCAGTTGCAAAGATATTAGAACGGTAAACAGGACTGATATCCAATGTAACTTAAGTCTACTAAAACCTCTATCATAAATTATTCTGCAGCATCAACGTTATTTTTTATTTAGAGTTGAAGCAAGTAATATAATTTACTTTTAGGTTACACCAGAGATGTGGATGAACCTAAACCCTTCAGGTGTCCAGATTGCGGCCGCAGTTACAAGTATAAAAGAGGCCTGGCGGACCACCAGCGTGTAGAGTGCGGAAAAGATCCGCAATTCGCTTGTCACCTGTGTGGATATCGTGCCAAAAAGAAAGTTCACCTGCAGAGGCACGCATTCAGCAGGCACCAGATATGTCTTGACAAGCACCTTAACCCTGTTTAGCCTCAGGCTCCTAATCATTTCATTAATTTGTAAGAAAATAAATATCAAGTTAATGTGAGAATATGTCTAGTGTTATACTTTGGCCCAACCAACATGTAAATGTTGACAAGAATCTAGGCTGTGTAATCTAGATACTATAAGCATTCTTTCAATCCTTTTTAAGAAAGTTTTATTTTTAGTTGGATTATTCTTTTCCTGATTATTACTTAACATTAACCTTGACATATGTCTTTTAAAAGGACCTATGTGTAGTCAGAAGATCGGAAAATTCTCCATCCTTCCATCCTCTAAAGATGTGGATAAACGTAAACCCTTTAGGTGTCCAGATTGCGGCTGCAGTTACAAGTATAAAAGAGGCCTGAAGGACCACCAGCGTGTAGAGTGCGGAAATGATCCGCAATTGGCTTGTCACCTCTGTGGGTACCGTGCCAAAAAGAAAGTTCACCTGCAGTGGCACGCATTCAACAGGCACCAGATATGTCTTGACAAGCACCTTAACATTGTGTAGCCTCAATCTCCTCATCATTTGTAAGAAAATAAATATCAAGTTAATGTGAGAATATGTCTAGTTATATACTTTAGCCCAACCAACTTTCGAACCTAGGTTGTGTAACCTAGATACTATAAGCAGTCCTTTTTAAGAAAATTTTATTTTTACTTGGATTCTTCTTTTCCTGATTATTACTTAGCATTAACCTTGACATATGTCTTTTAAAAGGAGCTATGTGAAGTCAGGAGATCGGCAAATTCTCCATCCTTTATAGTTAAGTAAATATTCATTCTAATGATTACTTTGCCCAAACAGAACTTAATATGTCATGGCCACGGACCTTAAACTTGAAAAGGATAGAGGCTGTCCTTATTCTCTGTAACAATGTAAATATTAAGTTTATAAACGTTGAACTGTTTCGTAAAATAATTATTTTAGTCTAACCGACTTTCAAGTATGTCTTATAAAGAAGCTAAATTTGTGTAGGCTAATATATGCTTACAAATCCCATTGTCCTTTACGAGAAAGTAGACGTATTTGGACTCTTGAAATTTTTCTATCTAAACTCTTGTTTTTTTCCAATGGTTATATTAGCTCTTGATGTTATTGTCAAGATCAATGATCAAATTGTTTACTCTTTGTAGACTAAGATCTTACTTTAAACCTTTATTCTTGGTCAACTTTATGTTTATAGATTATTTGTTGATAATCACTTTGATAAAATCTCCTTACAGATTCTGCTAGTGAGTTGTACAAATGTGAGTCCTGCGGCCGAGCCTATCGCCACAAACGCAACCTCACTGAACACCAAACATTCGATTGTAACCAGGATCCTCGCTTCGAATGTGAACTTTGCCCTTACCGTGCAAAGCGAAAAAGCTCGCTCAAATCTCACATGGCCCACAAACACTTCGATGTCTTATTATTTGATAGTTAACGATAAAATTGTCGCTAGATGTTGATATCCGTTTTCCTTAGCCTAATGATATATTGAATTGTTTTCCCCAAACATAGATTTTACGGTGGTAGAACTATGAATTCTGTAAATATTTTTTCTAGAATAAGGTTGGGATTTTATAAGAAGGGTGTGATGTTTATTTATTCAAATAAAACTTGTTTAATGTAATTAACAAGATTAATTTATTCCTACTTTTATTGCATTTATAATTATTACTACCTGATTTAATTATTTTCTGAATTTACTTTGATTTTTTAAATTTAAAATACGAGTTAAAAATTAAAAAAATAGTATCTGGTGGTGTACAAAACCAACTTAGCTTAACCATAAACAATTGTATCATAAACCTCCATTTAAATGACGGTGATATCATAAGCAAAAGTAGTTTCTAAACACATTTTAAGATACTAAACTAACCTTAGTTCACAGTATTGCCATACCCATGTTACATTTAGTTCATTTTGTGTTCATTTGTTCGGAGGAACACCGCTTTTACAGTCTAAAATCACTCATTGCTAATAATAAAAGTGGTAATTTATCTCCTTATAAGTAGATTACTCGAGCCTTACTTTTCACAATTACAAAAGGGTTTTTATTTTATATCTTTAGCATAGCAATTGAACTTAGATTTATCAGGTACTAAAATTGTTCCATCTTATCTACCTTAATCGTTTATAAAGTTTTCAGTTGATTTTATAGAATCTTAACTTGGTCACCCGAAATTCACAAATACTTTGACGTTGTCAAGTGTTAATTTAAAGCCTTATCCCTTTCAGAAACTTCATATTCCTGTCCAAATTGCTTAAGAATCTACAAGTACAAGAGGAATCTATCTGAACATATTCGTCTGGAGTGCGGAAAAGAGCCAATGTTCGCTTGTTTTCTCTGCACCTACCGTGGCAAGAAAAAGGACCACTTAAAGAAACACATGAAAAGCAAACATGATGAAATAATGTTGTGATGATTTTTTGTCAAGATTCAATTTTCAAATTAATATTTTTACTTTTATGACAAGCTATGTTGGGTATTTTGGTACAAATTTAAGCAATTCAGAGTAATGTCGCTACTGTTTTATGTTGTATTGAAGAATATTGAACTTTATTAAAAGCTGTTTCTGTAGCTAAGTTAACTACAATTAAATGTTGATTTTTATCTGAATTAATTTCTATCAAAACGCTATAATTTCAAGATTAAAATAAATTAACACCAAAGGGGAAAAAGCTATTTAAGGTTATTCCCCAAACATAAGTTAGATGTTTTAATACAATGTCAAAATGCAATGAACTTAGGGTTAAAAGATTAGTCTTACGTATTCAAACCAAACTACACTTGATAATATCGTTTGTAGACTAAATTCTTACCGTCTAACATCATTAGCTGACGTTTGGATTCAATAGTAAATCTAAGCGTGATACAGAAAAGATAAATGCCCACAAGGCAGATGAAAGGCTCTTACTAAAATTCTCAAACATATGTTTTTGTGCACCCTTTAAAAAAATTGGTTTGCAGTTTCTTTCAAGCTTGAATTTGCCAGTCCACGTGGATCTAAGGTCTGTGCGTGGAACGTATCATACACCAGAATCTTATACAGTACAAGAATGAACTGATTTTATAAATTTGAAATAGGCTACTTCAGTTGCAATGGTACGCGAACCCAAACCACCAACGCACAAAACTGACCTTTAAGAAACTTTGGTTTCAAAATATATTGTCAATCATTCCGTAGCACTTTGTGACGTAAGACCATGACCACCCTCAAATACGTCACTTGCCACATAACCACCGTCTGCTTCAGCACTGGAAGTGACATCACTTCTAGCCCAGAGTCATTCCTTTTGCACTACTCTTATATAGTCCAATACTGTATACCATAAACAAATATAATGATAATACTAAGATAGCTATTCAGTATTTAACATTTATCACTAATTTTCCCTTTTTTACTATTTCTCCTTCATTACAGCTTCTGCTGTGATCAGACACTGCGTGATCAACGGGGAGGTACGGTTCCCTTGTACTTGTGGGAAGATGTACAAACGTAAGCAACACCTGGTACAACATCGTCGCTACGAGTGTGGATTACCTCCTCAGTTCCATTGTCCCGTCTGTCCGTACAAAGCCAAGCAGAAGAGCACGCTCAAGACCCATATGGCACTGAAACATGGCAACTTTGCTGGGACCTAGACATTATTCGTGTTTAGTACCTTCTCCAGTCTTTCCGTACAAAGCCAAGCAGAAGGGCAAGCTCAAGACCAACATCGCACAGAAACATGACAACTTTGCTGGGACATAGACATTATAAGTGCTCAGTACCTCCTCTGTTCCATTGTCCCGTCTGTACGTACAAAGCCAAGCAGAATAGAACGCTCAATACCAACATCGCACTGAAACATGGCAACTTTGCTGGGACATAGACATTATTAGTGCTTAGTACCTTCTCTGTTCCATTGTCCCGTCTGTACGTACAAAGCCAAGCAGAAAAGCTCGCCCAATACCAACATCGCACAGAAACATGGCAACTTTGCTGGGACATAGACATTATAAGTGCTCAGTACCTCCTCTGTTCCATTGTCCCATCTGTACGTACAAAGCCAAGCAGAAAAGCACGCCCAATACCAACATCGCACAGAAACATGGCAACTTTGCTGGGACATAGACATTATTAGTGCTTAGTACCTCCTCTGTTCCATTGTCCCGTCTGTCCGTACAAAGCCAAGCAGAATAGAACGCTCAAGACTCACACCACATTGGAACATGGCAACTTTTTCAGGGACATAGACATTATTAGTGCTTAGTACCTTGTCTGTTCCATTGTCCCGTCTGTCCGTACAAAGCCAAGCAGAAGAGCGCACGCTCAAGACTCACATCACATTGGAACATAGCAACATTGCTGGCCCAAAGACATTGTTAATGCTTAGTACCTCATTTACTCGTGCCTAAAGACTTTTTCTGTAAACTTCAACTAGCTTGTCAAGTAACAAAAAACTGGAGTGCCTTGCTTATAGTATTTTCATTTTAATTTTCAAGTCAGTACAAACATGTTTCAAATTTGCAATAACTGTTGTTAAATGTGTATTTTATACCTAATGTTTTGTGATATTGACATTTTGCTAATTATTTAGAATAATGATGTTGAAAGAAAAAATCTAGTTAAATGTTTTCAGGTCTACGTGAATATAGTTGCTAGTTTATTTGCTGTGGTATTATTTTTAATCCTTTTTTGCCCACTTAAGTGCAAAACAATAATGGCCTATTTTTAGCAGTCCACAGATTACTAAAATTGTTTTAAAAAACTTGACTTTCACAAACCTGTTGTATCACTCTCGCATTGATTCTTATAACCTCATTACTTTTTACATAAATAAAGCTGAATATGGTTAACTAACTAGAATTCAGAACTACAAATTTTGTAAACTTCAAGGGATTTTCTTTGAACATTAAAAAGCCTCCGTGGCCGAAAGCTATAAGGGTTTGTCTTTTATCCAACTGCTAGGTTTCCTATTTTATTCAAAACTATACAATGTGAAAATATATGCCAGCATTGAAATAAGCTAAACACTTTGTTTAGTAAACAGTAAGGACGCGTTGCAGAAAGTCAACAGTCCCGGAAGGTCAAATAATTTATACCTGTGCCGCTAGGTCAAAAACTACAATGTTTGCAGTGTCTGTAAATCAAAAATCCCAGTAAGTCAAATAGTACACTCCGAGCTAAAAACGTGGTCTATGTTAAAGCAATTGACTTATTGGGAATTTGACCTAATGCAACAGCAGTTTTAATATAACGAAATAAGATAAAATATAAGTTCAGTTTCGCTGAGTCAACAGTGCCGGAAGGTCAAAAGTATAATCTGTTAAAAACAACGATAGTCCTCTCGACGCATGACTTCAATAATTTCGTGTTTTGGTGTACTTAAAGTTGTGCTAAAATTTTGAAAATTGGCACAGAGCTTCTTGGTTAGTCCTACTCGATGACTATTTTGTTGGAACTTTAAACTATTTACCGATCTAATTAATAAAAATTGATATGTATGGTGAAATAGTTTTAAATCGTAATTTCTAACATGAAAAAGTTAGCATGCGAGATTTTTTTTGTTTTTGGGTTAGTGAGGTTTCGTCTGTGGCAAAGTTGTAGCCAAAAGTGTGATGCGTAAAATATATTTTTTTGATTTTTTTACAATCAGTGGTTCAATAGATAACTTGGGTTGAAGAGGACGGCAAATTTAGCATTTCGCAACCCATGGAAAGAACTACATCGTACGATGCGACTGCTGAGTGGACTTTTAATTTACAGTTCTAAGAACAAGAAAAAGATGAATATACAGATCACCAGTACATTCATATTATTTATAAAACATCTTTCTGTATTACCAGCTTACATTTTTCACTTAAGAATACATCATAAACAGGGTGTTAAAAATAAGCGGGGAGATACTTTACCTAGTAATTCCTTGGGTCAAAATAAACAGAAAATCAAGGATAACATTTTTTCCGAAATCGTTTCGTTAACCAGATATCCACCATTTTGTATTTTTTACATACAAATATTTATCTTTGCACTTTTCCAACCGATGTTTATGAAACTTGGTATGTATGTTAATGTAGGAGAGACCCATGTTATAAAAACAGATTCATCTCGATTCACCCTAAAATTTCAAAATTTAACACTTAACTACAGTATAATATACTTTACTACACCACAATATTTACGTATTACCATAAGTCTTTAACAAAATAAAACGTTAACATTTTTAAAATCCAAAGTAAATCAATATAATCTTTCTTTTTTGAAAAATATATTTTAAAAAAAGGCGATGGTAAAATAACGACAGGCGAGTTTCGATCTGGGTGTTTCAGGTTTGAATCTAGGAGGATTTAACATTAATTAGGTAACATTAATGTTTAATCCTCCTAGGTTTGAACTGATTTAGAGGAATACATGAAACCGAAGGGGGGAGGTAGCAACAAGTGCACTATTATTTACTAGTGTCCAATTACAATTTGATGGATTTAACCTAAACCTTTTCTATTTCACTTATTTTCAGCTGTTAAATTTCAAACGATACGTTTTAGTGACCTCATTAACGTTATTATCATCATCTTCGTTTGAGTTTGGGTTTGCGGCAATGTATTTTTATGAATAAAACCTTTAATTTGATACCAAACTTGACCTCTGCTGCTATTAATTGACTGTATGCACTATTAATTAACAGCTGTGTCTAAGGATTATGTCGGCCTTAGTCATAAACAGGACAACAAGATCGCTCCACTCATCCCACACTCATCTCCATTCATACTTGGCTTAAAATGCATACATTTGTATGGTCGCCATTTCAAAGCAACATGGCTAAATTATCAATGAAAAACGTGGAAAACCTTATACGAGTGTGAGTAAGTCCGAAAACAAGAGTAAGTCCGAAAACAACTCTAAAAAACAATAAGCAATAAATTGCAAGAACCGTTGCTTATATCATTGGGTATACACGTATGTACTGACGTGTATACTCAATGCTTATATCGAACAAATGTACATCGTGAGAATTTCCATTAGTTGTTCCATTCAGTTTTGTGTCTATTTGTATAATAGTTTAGTTGACTCTTTTAAAGTCAGCGGAAATTGTGACTGTTATTACCCTTGAAATAATGTTTGTGTAGTACTTTGCAATCCTACCAATGCTTATAGAATCATACGATTACAATTTTCTGGTTAGAATATGTCGCATAGAGTGGTGACTACTGTATATTTTTGGTTTGCTTGTAAAACAGGATCAACAGAGATTTTCCATCGACTTAAACAATACGATACTCTCAAATTGTTCATTGCTATAACAAACTATCACACAGTTTGATGAATATTTGTGTGTAAACCACATACAGTACACCTGTATTCTATCTATTTTTCCTTTTATTTTTCCAAGACTTTATAGAAAATCACGCATTACGTGATCAGTGAAGAAAGGCTGAATCCCATGTGTTTTATAGGTAAAGAAGTAAAGAAGAACACTGCTTCAGGTCAGAGCATTCAGTTATCATCAGCAATTGTAATTCCCGAATCAGTAACTGAATCAATAGTCAATTATGTAAGGGTTTGTTGATTATTTATAATGCACTTTACATGCTCCATTTGATAGTTTATAATAATTTACTCGGAATCTATAAGACACCTTTGGCTTGTATTAAATATTGGGTTGGGCCGTTTAGTATTTTGATTACAATAGGGGTACTCGTCAAACAGTTAAATATTATTATTTCTATGAATTTAATGGGTAACTTTAAAGATTAGGTGGAATTTCTAACAATACTTCACCGTAATCAGCAGCAAACATACATAAGGAATTCCAGTTATTACAACAGACGCTCTGACAGCCCGTCAACATAAGACCTGCAGACGGGTCAACGAATATGCTGAAAAAAATAACGAGATAAGTGAGTGTAAAGTGACTATTTAAATCCGGTCGTCATACGCCACGAGACATTCCGTCAGTGAATGGGAGACCCACACAAGGGTGAAGATCGATAACGCGCTGCATTTGGAATGGAAAAAATTGCACAGGTCCTCGAAAAGTACTAAATTCTCGAGTCCCGAAAAAGTCAAGTGCCCAGAATGTCTTATACACATACGGAAATTCAAGTCCTCAAAATATTGCAATAGTGTATTTTCGTATAAATTCTTGAGACCCGAAAAAGTCAAGTCCCCAAAATGTCTTATACACTTACATATATATGAATTTGAACGGATGGTGTTTTTGGCCTCTAGGGACTCAAAACGAAAAATTACATCGGTCCCGGGTCCAGGTGTTGCCATGAGTACTACGGTAATAGCTTATTCCCTATATGCGAAATTCGCTAAAAACCTAATAATTCTATAGAATAACTAGCTGTACCCGCTGGCTTTGCCCCGTTTAACTAATTAATTTTCAAGATGAGCTCGTTCGCATGGCTCAATCACGTCCTGGTTGAAGTTTGTTCGCTACGCTCACTCACCTTTAGGTTGGAGCTCGTTCGCTGAGCTCACTTGCCTTGGTGTTAACTCGCCTCCAGGTTGAAGTTCGTTCGAAACGCTCACTCAGCTTTTGGTTGCAAATTAGCTGTTGTCATAAATTGTTTAATTGACACAGCTGTTAAGATTCATTAATTCCTTTTAAATATGAAAAATCATAAGGTTAACATGGGAAACTCCAGAGCCACTGGGGCGAAGCTCGAATGCCCTATCATAAAAAAAATTACTCAGTTTTCCTATTTAATGCCCAAAGAATCGGTGTATCGAATTTCAGCCTCCTAGGTAAATGGGAAGTGGGAGAATTAGTGATGATGAGTGAGTGAGAGTGAGTGTGTCAGTGAGGGCTTTGCCTTTTATGAGTATACATAGCACATTCAACCAGCTGTTAGTTAAAACAAATTATATTGGACTAAAACAAATCGATGATTACAAAGAATACTTTAAAAAATAATTTGAACATCCTACTACTGTATTTTACTATGCATATTTAATTAATCTGCCATCCTCGTACCGACGAATTAAATGTATTAATGGTGAGCATTACACATAGTATAAATAAGTCAACCATAAGTATGGATTTGAATTTTCTTCCAAATGCTGAATTTGTGTCACAAATGCTGAATGTTACAGCTGTTATGTAAGCAAATTATGTTGTACTAAAAGCTAGCTAGAAGCATTGACTATTGGAGAAGGTTAGCATCGGCTGCTAGACTTTTTAAAAACTTAAACTTAATTTATAAAAAACTGGGACACTAATTTTAAATTATGGCTTTGAAATTTCCTAGTTCTCAAAATTGTCTTTCTTTCAACACAAAACTAATGAAAATCCATCGACTGGTTTATTCAGAATCGTGAAAAAACCCCATTTACGTTTTAATAATATATATGATAGTTTGGACAGGTTTCAACCCTTCCGAGGCGTAATACATTTACACAGTTTATATTTAGACTACATTATAACTCATAAAATAGTTCTACAATTAAATGGATCTCCTTTTACAAACGTATATAATAACCAGAAATTTTCAGATCGTCCTTGCGTGTATTTTATGCCACAAATTTTGACGAAAGGCTATACCTATTTACAGTGTTGACCAAACAGTTGGCAAGAAGCATTAATAGATAAGCTATGTACCAAATATGATAATTTTAGCTCTATTCTAATTATGACAAAACACGAAGTAACTAAAAGCGAGTTTTGTTGGTGTAGTAAGCGTTGCAGGAGGTCTACTTTACACTGAATCGATGTTAACTTTTATTGCTTTTGATCTTCTGGCACTGTTGACTCAGCGAAACTGAACTTGTATTTTACCGTATTTCGTTATATTAAAACTGCTGTTGCATTAGGTCAAATTCCCAATAAGTCAATTGCTTTAACATAGACCACGTTTTTAGCTCGGACTGTACTATTTGACTTACTGGGACTTTTGATCTACAGACACTGCAAACATTGTAGTTTTTGACCTAGCGGCACAGGTATAAATTATTTGATCTTCCGGGACTGTTGACTTTCAGCAACATTCCCAACAGTAATAAATGTAGTGAAATAGTAAAATTACTAGGAAATTAAAAGGAAAAGGTAAAGAGTAATTTATAATTTCAATGCAAATATACTGATTCATTGTATGTTCAGGAAACAATTCGCTTCAGTTCGTCACTACTCTGACAGATGGGAGTGAACGCCATGTTTGCGGGGTCTGTCACAGAACCTACAAGAGAAAAAAACATCTTACCTCCCATCAGAAGTACGAGTGTCAGAAGCCTCCTCAGTTCCCGTGTCATGAGTGTCCTTATCGCGCCACTCAGAAGAGCGCGCTCAAAGTGCATGTAGTGTTACAACATGGAAAGACCAATGTGTGATTTTGGTAATAAAGTATTTGTTTATCATTAAATGTCTGTTTTTATTTTTCTAACTATGGGATTTGTGATTATGTATTTAGTAAGTATTGCATTAATGTTTTATTGCTTTCATAGTCAAAGGATAATTTCTTGTGGACTCGGTACACACATTATGTGCAGTAAATACAACCTGTTCTTCTATTGGGGCTTTTACACATTAAGCAAATATGTGGCTTTAATTAAATTTTTAATTTTTGTAAACTTAAGAAACATAAGAATATCAAATTGCCTAAACATTATTACACTTTAAGTTTACACAACCAATGGCAGTCCTTAGAATCATTTTTCATCATTCATCTTAGAAACTTGTTTCTTTCATACTTTTGAATGCTCCATTCCCATGTTTTGACTTGAGATTAAACATATTTGTCGTCCTTATGGGTCACCAAGACAATGACACAACTTTAAGGTTCAGTTAATTGGACCCTCAAACATACATTATGGAACACAAATTACAGGGTTTAGGCAATACTTTTACAACAAAAAGAGAAGTCACATCCTAGGACACTTAGATCAAATTCAAAACCATATTACACATTACTTCAGACTAGGTCCAAAGGCTCGCGGCAATATCACATAACTAAAAGACTTCAAATCTCCTGTGATTTACGATTTACAGGGTTTAAACCCGGAACCTCAGGGAACGAAGTGCCGCACTGTAAGTTATTGACAATGTGCTGTTGTAGGCCAGGTGTGGCTGCAGTACGTGCAGGACCAGACAGATGGCAGCAGGCGTTACGGATGCAGCGTGTGTAACAGGGTGTACAAACAGCGAGGCCATCTCAACCATCACCAGCGCTACGAGTGTCAAAAGGACCCTATGTTCTCATGTACTCTGTGTCCTTATAAGGCCAAACAGAAAAGTAACCTGAAATCTCACATGGCCATCAGGCACTCTCAAGCCTTACTCGAGTGATATTTTATCTTATAAAGTTTGTTATTACTTATTATGTTGGATTCGTTATAGACTATATGCCTTTAGATAGTTTAAAAATAAATTATATAAGTTTGATCTCAATTTGTTTTCGTTTACCAAATTAAAGTTGATTTTTCTTTATTTAAAATTGTAGTTAACACTTTCTCAAGATTGTAAGGTTTTGAGTTATCAGAGGTTTTTTATTCGCTATGTATAGGCCTAATGTATTCACCTGAACCAAACTTGAAACTGTATTAATAGATCAAGCTCAAACATTAACTTCAAATACTGTATATTGACGAGCTTTAAAAAAAAGTCAAATCGTTTTGCTTTGGTACATTTTTATATCATGCTCAGCAAGCTACATTATTCATTATAATCAAACAAATGCTATAGGTCTTGTGTGGATTTTTATGTACTTAAACAACACCAACACTTCCCGTACTCTTACAGTTCAATTTTGCCAAGGATTAAATGCCGTCAATAAAACCAGTATATTATACCGAATTGTTCACTGAGGTATAGGAATGGGGTACCAGAATTACCTGACTGAACTCTTGTATGAATCGGCTTTTGTTTTTATTTTCGCACTAAGAGAAATGTCTTGATAGTAACGTTATCTGTAGCACTGAAGACACCTATACGTTCTAACAATATATGGCTTTCTATCAACGCATTGCCTTGCTCATACTCATATAAAGTTTCGTTTTCCAGAGCTGATGGAGGTCCTACCGGATGGGTCAGTCAAGTTCGTGTGTCCTGTTTGCAGGAGGCCCTACAAGCACAAGAAGCATTTGACGTTTCACCAGAAATACGAGTGTGGCAAGGCACCCCAGTTTGCTTGTCCAAGGTGTCATCACAGAGCCACCCGGAGGACTAGCCTCAGGGCACACATTCTACTCAAGCATCGCGTGGAGTCTAAGGAGCTGTTGCAGATGATATAGTAGATCAATCATCTACCGAAGACGGAGTCCAAAAAGTTGTGGATGATTCACTGAATCCATCCTGAGCTGAGGATGAAGCCCAAACAACTGTTGAAGATGAATTTTAGTACTCTCTACTTACAAGAAGATCAGTGAATATATCCTGAGCTGAGGATGAAGCCCAAACAACTGTTGAAGATGAATTTTAGTACTCTCTACTTACAAGAAGATCAGTGAATCTATCCTGAGCTGAGGATGAAGCCCAAACAACTGTTGAAGATGTATTTTAGTACTCTCTACTTACAAGAAGATCAGTGAATATATCCTGAGCTGAGGATGAAGCCCAAACAACTGTTGAAGATGTATTTTAGTACTCTCTACTTACAAGAAGATCAGTGAATATATCCTGAGCTGAGGATGAAGCCCAAACAACTGTTGAAGATGTATTTTAGTACTCTCTACTTACAAGAAGATCAGTGAATATATCCTGAGCTGAGGATGAAGCCCAAACAACTGTTGAAGATGAATTTTAGTACTCTCTACTTACAAGAAGATCAGTGAATCTATCCTGAGCTGAGGATGAAGCCCAAACAACTGTTGAAGATGTATTTTAGTACTCTCTACTTACAAGAAGATCAGTGAATATATCCTGAGCTGAGGATGAAGCCCAAACAACTGTTGAAGATGTATTTTAGTACTCTCTACTTACAAGAAGATCAGTGAATCTATCCTGAGCTGAGGATGAAGCCCAAACAACTGTTGAAGATGAATTTTAGTACTCTCTACTTACAAGAAGATCAGTGAATATATCCTGAGCTGAGGATGAAGCCCAAACAACTGTTGAAGATGAATTTTAGTACTCTCTACTTACAAGAAGATCAGTGAATATATCCTGAGCTGAGGATGAAGCCCAAACAACTGTTGAAGATGTATTTTAGTACTTCCTACTTACAAGAAGATATAATCCAAACATCTTTTGAAAATGCTTCAGCGCATCCATCCTAAACTGGAGGTGAAGTCTACAGCTGTTGAATATAATGTAGCAAATCCAAATGTAGCTGAAGATGAAGTCCAAACTGTAATTAAAGAGTATCATGAGTCCATCCTGTGCCAAAGATGAAGTCCAAACAAGCTGTTGAAGATGATATTGTGAATACATCCTGAAATCTTGGCTGAAGAGATTAAAAGTGCCTTGAAGACCGAGCGCAGTCTCATTTGTTGACTGAGACATCATGTTCATGACTTATACTACAACTACTACTAGAAAAGGCTAAAAAAGAAGTACTAAAAAATACTTATGTGCAATCTAAGGCATTTTCTTTGAAAGCCTTTGATAGGGTTTATAACTTATATTAAGGTCATATATTAAGGCTTCTTACATTTAACTGATATGTTGTGATTACACCGACTTTTTGGTTATAATTATTAGAAACACCAGTTTTATTGAAAAATATGGTGTGGATATATATGCATTCATATACTTAAAATCTTTAGAAACCACGTTATCTAATCCATGTACATTTAAATGTGTAAGGAATCGTATACTTGGAAATTAAATATTAGTTTTTATTTAGTTGTAGTAGTGTATTTTTAATGTTTTACCGTAAATCAACTCATTTATCCGTATTCATTAAGATTCATCCATTAACATTCTTTCAATGTTGGACACATTCAACTCGTTAATTTAAAAAAAAATTTATGTAATCTACAAACTACTTGCCTTCAAGGGCTGTTAATTTACCAGTTTTGTTATGAACACATGGTCCTTAAATCCAACAATATAGGCCAGTAAAAAAATCATTCACCATTATTTGTCATATATCTTATAATGTTATGTTAGGCATTAAACACTGCACCATGATTTTGTAAGCCCCTGTGTCATCTGTAATTCTGTCGTATCATTTCTTCTGCACTCTGCCTCAGACCAATGACACACTGCGTTTTCAGATCTCGGGTACTTTTACACCATCAAATCCCCTGACGGCTCAGACAGGTTTGTCTGTGCGGCGTGCAGATGTCACTATAAACACAAGAAACACCTCAACTACCATTGGAGGAACGAGTGTGGCGTCGACCCCCAGTATCAGTGTCCTCATTGTCCTTATAAAGCTAAACAGAAAAGCAACTTCAAGACCCATCTCTTCAGGCACACCGAGACATACAAGACTAAAATACTCTGTAAAACTTGAATTTATAGATCCAATAGAAAGTGTTGTATTTTAAAAGGAGTTATGTAGACAACTTTTTTGTCGTTGAAACAATTTTTTTACAGTATTTTTTTATATTACAGCATGTATAAACTAGCATTTCTGTTGTTATCTAAATTACTTGTACTGTTGCTAAGAATTGTTAAATTAAAAAATACATGATTATATAACTGCATAGCTAAGTATCTTGCGAAAGCTTTGAGTAAAATACTTACGTAGCATTTGTTTATAAGCAAATTTATTAAGTGCCAAAAAGGGTCAACGATAATTGATATAAATAGACGTTTTTGTTAAATGTTGTGACGATTGTTCATCCCAAGACCTCTTTCTTATCAATGCTCGAAAAAAGGAAAGGACTATAAATGAAGGTTGTTCAGAAAGTAGCTCGTAGAGAAAAACACTTATATCCTTTTGTAGTTTTTTGTTGACAAATTTTAGATTTTTAGCTGCAAGACGAGAGTAAGATGAAGCGAGAGGGCACACATCAGGTGCGTTGGTAAGAACCTTTCTCATAAGCCCAGTTACCAAGGCCAGTTTGTTATCAAACAGTCAAAACAAATTTATGAAATAAACACACCCTCAGTCGTGTAAGAGAACTATATGAATTTCCATACCGATGCAACTGTCTTTAGGTGTAAAAATCTCTTTTTTTAAGAACACAACTTCGTAAACTCTCAAAATTAAGCTTAATGGTAATTCATCATCTTTGACTAAAATATACAAGACTTTCCTTTGTAATGTCCAAGTGTTGGCCAGTTTTATAATGAAAATAAACATAGTTACATTGATCCAGACAGTGCACTGATATAAATTGCAGATTTTTGTCAAATACGCAAACATTTTTATCCAGTCTTGGACAGCTTACTGCAAACTGTAGTAACTAAGGCAGGAAATACAGTTTTAATTGATGGCAGGTCCTGTGAGTGGCTGGCTCATTAAAATATGTTCTTCTTGACCAAAGATTGGCATAAACTGGTAGTATGTAGTATATAAACTGATAATATAAACTTTCAGTTTGTCTATTTTAGAATCCATAAGTGAATGCTGTTATTACATCAAGCTCAGGTTGTCCGATGGGGCCGGGTCAGCCATAGGGTGGGATACGGCGAGGGATTATATTGGTGGCCTCAGGTAGTCCCGGGTCCACCGGCTAACCTGAGTTTGAGTTGTTTGACAAAGTGAGCGTTCACTTTTGGATGCTGAACGATTTTTTATTTTCCAATCTTAACCACATCTGTTGTGTTCTCAGAGCTACCTCAGTTCCTGAAGGTGCTGGCTATCCCCCAAGACGCCAGGTTCGAATGTCAGGTTTGCCACAGGTCGTACAAGCGCAAGCAGCATCTCATTTACCACGAACGATACGAATGCAACATGGAGCCAAGGTTCAAGTGTCCCTACTGTCCACACCGATGCAAACAGAAGAGCAATCTGAAATCTCACATTGCCATCAAGCATAGCAGTGCTTTGAATAAATAATTGTATTGACAGTTCTTGTTTTTGTCACACCTATTCCCTCGGGCATCGCAAAGTACGAGTTGAGGTTCTATGTAACAAAACATTTAGTGTTCAGTGTCATTAGGTCTGACCAATGTATTTCTTTGTGTTCGTATTATTTCCCCTAATAATTTAGTGTTTTTATGCTTTTGAAGATAGCTTGCCAAACTCAACCAGACCATAAACCGTACTGCATGTTTACTTTGTATTTCAGATGCAAAGAGACTAAATGAAGTCCCTAGCCAAAATCAAAATTCAAGGTGAAATCCAATCTTACTCTTCATTGATTCCTTTATAAATGTCTTTTCCAAACTAAACATGCAGAAATTTTAAAACCCATTTTTATTTTTTTGAACATAAATAAAAAGTGTTTTTGGAATATTTTACTGTAAGGAAAGAAGCTATTTGCAATTGGGATTGGTTTAAGCAATAAACTATCAGAATATTTTTTTAAGTCACAGAACAAATGGGGGATGGCTGTGCATGGCTATATCTCCGGTTGGCTTTTGTTCTTATACAAGGTGATAATTAAGCTGACAAGATGTTTAGTCAAAGCTCAAAATTAAAAAAAATCTTCTTTCTAATCTTTAGATCTTTAAATGATAATCTACAGGATTGTGAAGTTCTTATGAAGTAGAGCGTGTTGAGTTTTCTCCCCAGTGAAATACTCCCTGATTTATTTGTTCTATAACAGAAGTACTCTTTAAAATAAGGTTAAATGGGGAGCGAGCTGGCATAGTGGTTAGAGCGTGGGACTTCAGTCCCTGAGGTCCCTGCCAAGTCCCCAATGGATTTTATCTAAGTGATAATGCTGCAACCCCTAGGTCTAGCCTGAAGTAATGTGAAAAACAATCCCAGGCTCGTGTCTAGCGTCTTAGGACAAAAAAAATAACTAAGGTTAAATGAATCAATCGTTGGTATTTTACATGACAATGTATTCCAATATTAACATGTTTCTGCCATGATGTAGGAAACACCTTTGTGTATGAAGGTGACAAGTTCGTTTGCAGCGCCTGCAGCCGCACCTACAAACATAAGAAACACCTAATGACTCATCAGAAGTACGAGTGTGGAAAATTCCCGATGTTTCAGTGTCCAATTTGTCCTCATAAGACAAAGCAGAAGAGTAACTTGAAGAAACACGTGGGACTGGTCCATGGCAATGTTAATTTAACTTTATAATTCATTTAGTTGAGAATAAATTTGTTATTCGAACGAAATACAGTGTACTACTTTTTACCTTGAGAAACTTCAATTTTTTTAAAAATTTGGAACGATAGGGCGAAAGACAACGATATTCAGAGCAAAATATTATTGAAGCATTTCGAAATCCTGTGTGAAGATAAATTTGACCTCTGGGTTTATACATTTTAAGCTCTACTTTTGTCATAGGTTCACTCAAAGACTTTGTGGGAGAGTGTACTTTCCAAAGCATTTATCTCAAAATTTAGACAAATAAAGTATTTTTATCGTAGAATTCCAATACTCACAACGAATAGTTAATGCATTTCATATATTCACAATGTCCAACTGAAAAAAATTGAATATTTCTACTCATTGAAATTAAAACGTTTACTATTTTTTAAATTCTTTACAAATATTTAAATGTATTAACCTGAGTAATCACATGACTATTATTGTGTCATTGAAAAAATGTATAAACTCTTTTCCTTTTGTACACCTAGCTAAAATCATTTAATATGTTTTTTCAACCCACAGCTTTCCACGAACAGAAATTTGTTTGTATGGTTTGTGGCCGAACATACAAATACAAACAGAACCTCACTTTTCATCAGCGTTGGGAATGCAACAAGCTTCCGTCGTTCCAGTGTCCTTTTTGTCCTTGGAGGGCAAAGGTGAAGAGTTCACTGAAACGTCATATGGCAACTCAACATTCCCAGGTGTACCAACAGACCAACAATGAACTCAACAAGACTCAGGACTACCAACTGTGAAAACACGAGAAGAAATGTTATCCAAAGAAAAATGATACAAATTTTTCAATTTATATTTTGCCAGAAATAAATGTTATTTTTGAATAAGATTGGGTACGAGTCTCTCTTAGTTCCTACAAGAGGTGATTAAAAAATTCCTAGAAAGCTTAAATCGTCAATTTCTTACTGTATCAATTATCACTGTATGACTTTTTGAAAACTATTTAGTTTTCACCAAGGGATTAAATAAATTGAAGCAATGTATAATAATCAATTTTGTGGACATTAGTGATACTTTCAATAGTTTATTCATTCTTACTTAACACACTTTTTACATTCTAGGAATACAGCGTTGGAAGCTAATTCTTCTACATATGGGCTAAATCAATTTAGTTTTTATATATTTATTGATTTAGTTGTTAGTTTATTTCTGACAGTTAAATTAATGGTTAGTGTAAAAAAAAAAAAAAAATGCCTCTAACACAAGCTGATGTGATCTATCTCTAAATATGAGCCAAATCCATCAAATTAACGAAATTTATAAACATTTCTACAACTGGGAAACAACAGAAAACATGTAATTTGTTCCACAAAAATACCCTGAATAACATATGTAATCACAAACATAAAACATATACAAGCCTATTTCACTAAGTACCCATTCCCTTAATTTGTTTTACTTTGCAACAATCAAGGGTACACACTATTACAGTCACTCTCAAGTCCATACCATATGTTCCGATATCGCTAATCTATAAATATGATTTCAGAGCCACCTGACGGTGAAGATGATCGGATATTCCGATGCAACAACTGTATGAAAGCCTACAAACGCAAGGGACATCTCAATCAGCATATTCGTTACGAGTGCAACAAGGACCCGCAGTTCGCCTGCCATCTTTGTGAATACAAGGCCAAACGAAAAACCTCCCTCAACTCACATTTCTTGTTTAAACACAAACTGGTGACAAGAACATAAGTTGTGATATTTTATTTTCAATACTGTACATGAAAAAGTGCATAAAGTTTGTCAAGTAGTATTTTTATGTTGAATTACCGGTATACATATAATATAATTCTATAATAAGGAAATATGTTTTGTTTTAATTCACTTTTATTGATTTGTCTCATTAGTCTGTAAGATTCTATTACTTCCTTTAAATCCACATCCAAATAGTTATTTTGCTCTGTTCATTGATATTTGGCCCCTGTGTTTTAAATGCCGTTTTTTTTTTTTGCAGACTTGACAGTGTAACAAATTATTTTTGAACGAGTTCAATGTTTTACATTAATAACAAAAATATACTTAAGGTCACCATTACCTCAATTTAGAATATTATCCACATAGTTTTGTGAAAATACAAAACTATTCCTACTCATTATGCTAAAATTTTACAATACTAAATGAAGTAGCTCACTACAACTGGGATTCAATGAAAAATATTATAGGGATAAATTATAAATAGCACATATTCCCTCATGAAATACTAGTATTTATCCGGTAATGGTGTGTAATAACAAATCAAGGATATTATTTGAAACAATGCTTATAACAGTTCATAATGAATAACAAGTTATTTCAATTTTCAGATCCAAGAATACTGTTCTTTATGGAGGATGGAGAAGAACGGTTCAGGTGTTCCACTTGCAACCGCATCTACAAGAGGAGACCTGTCATCATACGCCACCTGCGATACGAATGTGGAGTGGAACCTAAATTCTCTTGTCCTCACTGCCCGTACAAAGCAAAATGGAATTTCTCTTTGAGGACGCACATTTCTTTCAAGCATCCCGAAACTTTTACCTCTTCAAGGGAGCCTTCAACAAACAATTTTTAGCGGGTGTAGGAGTTTCAATTTCTTTTTTTTCGCAGTTAGGAATATGACTACTCATGCTTATGTTCTAATTTTTTTTAAATGTTTGTTTTTCAATCAGCAATGTTTGCATTGTGTTTTGTTATATTTTATTGTGCCTACAAAGAATTACATTGTTTTATAAAGACTTGAGTTTACACAATATGACTAGGTTTTGCGTTGGAATTTTCTTGTTAGTTGAATAAAATATTAAAATGAATATCCAGTCTGTGTTTTTGCCTTTAATTATGCACCCATGCCCTCACGATAGTAAATGTATTTAAATATATTTTAACCAAACAACACAGGCCACTAACAAAATATGTTCAGGAGTCGCTGCTCCTGCTACGGTCACCAGCATGGATGGATCGCAGCGTTTTGGCTGTTCCAACTGCGGAAGATCATACAAACACAAGTACAACTACCATCGACACTTGCGCTACGAGTGTGTACAGTCAAGGCAGTTTCCCTGTTCAATGTGCTCCTATAAAGCCAACTACAAACAGGCTCTGGCCAACCACATCGCTTACAGGCACAGCCAGTTATCTCAGTCTCAATTAAACATTGAGGAGTCAGTGTCCAAGTAAAGGGTCAAAACTGTGTTGTAAGATAACATTGTAAATGTAAAAAAATGTTTTACAGTTTTAAAGAGTGTTATAATTTAAAACATGTTTTCTACTTGACGCAGTCGTTTAAAGACTATAGTTTTAACCATAACTATTTTACAGGAAAGTAATGTACATGAAAAATATAGAAATATAGTTTTTTTATGACGAGTGTTGTTTTCACCCAACATATCCAACTTCAATGCCTTCTTATCTGTAATAAGTCATATTAAGCTCTGTCACCCACTATTCCTAATCGTATGCCAGCTAATGGTAACCCAATTCTTGCATAATACGATATATTCAACCTCTGTGTAAATGGTTTTCGGAAGAAATACGTTATACAACTCAGATCAAAAATTGTGGTAGGCTTAGTTTCTCTACAAGGCCTCGGCTTTGTTTATCTTGTTTTTCAATTATCTGATCCACCCAAACTATTTTGCCTTAGACTTACGTTTTAAATTGTAAATGTGCCATAGTTGATAAATGATGCAGTATGCTTAAGAGGTATGAAATATTTATTTTAATTTAGTTGTAACCTTCCAAAAACTCGTTGCACTTTATTCTTTAATGAAAACTCTTTGGAAAAGAATTTAACGTTCTTAATAGTTAAAGATACCCGCAGAAAAGCATTTAGGGGTTTATTTAAGTTGTGAAATAAGCACTTTAGGAGAGTACATGATAAAAAAAAAAACAAGTGTTAAATTAACGGGACCAATTTAAATGGACCATTGATTAATTAACTCGCCTATGTTTACGAGGGCAATGATTTCTTTTTTATAATCTTTTAAAACTATTCAAACTGAGTAAGATTTCTTATTGGTCAGTTCTACTTTTTACTGTACAATGTTAAAAGCCATTTAGTGTTCGTCAGGCACTAATACTACTTTAAGTTTCAGTTGTGTCCAAAACACAAACTTCTTCTACCACATGGACTATTAAACAAAAATGTTTCCCCCTCAACGTAATAAAATCATGTTTAAAACTTTCAGAGCTGTTCAACGCCTGTGTCGACGCGAACCTGAAGAAGTTCTTGTGCAACTCCTGTGGCAAGCGTTACAAGTGGAAAGGGGATCTGAACCGGCACAAGAAGTACGAGTGCAACACCCCTCCCCAGTTCGCTTGTCCTCACTGTCCGCACAGGAGCAGGCACAAACAGGACATGAAGACACACATAGCACTCAAACATACTGTCTACGTACAGGCATAAACAAATAGAGTTAAATTTAAATCCACAGCATAAGTTCTGGCTTCCACCGCTTTAGTTAAGTCGCACGCGCTACGTAACTCCTAGCGGTGGACGCCAGAACTTATGCTAACCGCAGCACTGCTATCGGTCTATATTTAATGCTCTTTGTCTATGTTATAGGCCACACCTTTGTTATTGAGTATTGACTACAACCTTTCTATGGCTTAATAGGTTTTCAACCAGAATACCAATTGATATAATAAAGAGTACAATTCACTTTGCAGGAGTACAATATCACTGTGTTGAATTGTTACACTAAACAATCTTTGGGTTTAAATTACATCGAATAGAATATATTTGTAATTTATCGAAGAGTACTTTTGCTTTACCGATTTGCCATTTAGTTGGAACTTTTCAAACAATTGCTTTTTTTTTGTAATTTCGATTCATAGATGATTTTTTACCATAGTTTGGTAAGGATTGTAACCTTTATTTATTTTGACTGAATTTTGTGCTGTGCTATTAAATATTTATTTACATGAATTGTTGCTTTATAAACCCTTATTACCTACCGAATTTTTAGTAAACATAGAGTACAGAGTTCAGAAAATACTCTGTCCAGCTTGAACCTTCCAACATAAAAATCTATTATAGAATAAAATTAATTTATGGTATTCCCGTTGGATAATTTTTGGTATTTGAAGAAAGTTGTTACACATTGATTAAGTTCATTTAAAACACAATTCTATATGCAAAATATACGATCAATACTAGTTGAAATATATTACTGCTATTTAAAATAAATATCTATCCTTTTGCTGTTCTTTATGACTAGTCAATAACGAGTCCCTTAGCCCAGAATGTGTGCAATTTTTAAAGATGTTGATGTCAAATAGACCAGGATTATTATTCTAGCTAGTTCTTTTGGCTAGGCCAAGAAAGTATACTTATTACTTTCACTCAATAGTAATTCTCCAAAGCAGTATTTTAAAGTTTGACGACCAACAATATTTTTCATACTTCTTGTACTACATGTAACATCCTATTTAAAGCTTGAAATTATTCAAGTTCCTATATTTTCAGGTTTACTGGAAGAACTGAAGCAAAATGTATGTGAAACTTGTGGAAAGAGATATAAGCACAGGAAGCACCTCATACGTCACCAACGCTATGAGTGCAACCAGATACCTCAGTTTCCGTGTCGACATTGTCCTTACAGAAGCAAACACAAACAGAACTTACAAACTCATGTTGCTCTTAAACACTCTGGTTTGGAGTTCAACTTTATCTAGTGAAAAATATTCATCTTTGCCCGGTTAAACAACGGAGTTCAACTTTCAGCTAATGGAAAATAAATTTCAATGGTTCCTGGACCTAATGTGTTTTTGGCTTTATTCTTCATAAAACCAAAGGAAGCTCGTCGTTATCTTGTTGGTAGCATTTATTTTTTTATCGAAATTAAATCAAAGTTTTTCAAGTTACATGCACATTCTTTAACGAATATAATCCTTAAAACGTACTTTGTAAAGGATTTATTTCCTAACTTTATCATGTGTTTAGATGTTTATGATTCGATACTTAATATCTTTTTGAGCTATCTGAATTTGTGATTACCTTTTGATCATGAATTTGTAATAATTGTTATGTGATATTTATATTGTTACAGGACTTTGATTAACTCCATAACTTTTCAAGCACTTAGTATTTAAATTGTTTATACATTTTATAATACCAGTCGATTAATTTGTTACCTTATATTTTAGTCGTACTTCAAAATTGTATTGATTTAAAAATGCTAAATTTACTAATTTTGGGAACTAGCAATCTTATCTTCGGATTTACAATGTACTCAATGCGTGTATTTCGTAGAAAAAAAAATGCATAGAGAATAACAAAACACAATTGGCTTGTTACACAGATGGAGATGAAACACGACAACATGTCTGTGATGTCTGCGGACGGAGATATAAGCATCAGAGTCACTTGATACGTCATAAGAACTACGAGTGTTCTGGTGTGCAGCCTCAGTTCTCCTGTCCATATTGTGATCACAAAGCCAGACGTAGGGATAGGCTCAAAATACACATGTTCGTGAAACACAAGGGCATTGATTTTTAATAAATATCAGCTGTTAAGACAATTGTTTGTATACCATTGTTAGTATATTCTATCACAAGGCAACGGTGGACGATGTGGCAACGTCGCACTACTCCGCTTATTGCCATGGAAACAACAGTGTGTTAACATGAATACTGCACGGACGCTCTATATGATAGTAACTGTTTCGTTAGGCCGGGATTGCGGCGTTGCCACTTTTGTCTTACCTCGGTCTTATATGTAGAGGAGGCTACGGTTATTAGTCAAATTAAGTTTGCTGCCCCAGTGCCTTTCAATTTGGTTCAGGTTTGGTTATGTTATACAGCTATTCTATTTTATGTTTTTCAACAGAAGTGTATGTATTGTTGGGAAAGATCTAAATTTCATCTTAACTAAACATTAATTTACATTTAACGGAGTTTGGGACAGCCAAATGTTTCTAAACTAGTGTTTGTGTGTTTTTATTGTAAACGAATTGATAAGTTACAATAAATCTCTTTTCTACAAGATCATTAAGGCTGAGATGGTAACTTAAGGATGTAGATTTGTACAACGGAACAGTATACACACGTTTATATAAAACTAAATGCATCATAGGATACATTATTGTTATCAGCGTCTATATATTTTGTGTGTTAGGTCTTGGCCTTACTGACATGTTACTAAGGACATCTGTTTTCTACAAGAACCTTTTTTGTTGTGAGCAAGTAGATTTGTATATCACACAAGTATTTTATGTTTTTATCCAATAAAATACACAAATGTATTCTTTGTTTCTTTGTTGTTCTTTGTATTCTTTGGTTTTGAAGTGTAGGGTTATTAGATCTTAATAACAAGTTACCAAGAAAATTGGTTACCTACAGTTCTTATTGTTATAGTTAATCGTTAAAACATGTTTACTTGTTTAATTTTGTTTGGTTTAAGATAAATAAACTATGTAAGTTTATAGATAACGCCAAAAATAAACATTTTGAAAACTCAAGGTGTTAAATTGTTATGTTTTGTGCTGAGGTAGATATTAATAATAAATAGTGTTATTATTATTGCTACAGTACTAATTTTTTATCAAGAATAATTGTTAAAATGACTAGAATATTTGTGTCTTTTAGTTATTTATGTTACTGGTATTTGAACAGTACTTTCTAGGTTTTCTGACATAGATTGTAATTGATTAAATTCATAATTTATCCATATCAATTTGAAATACATGCATTACCGAACGTGAACTATGCAGCCTTCCTGTTGGAGTATTGCACAGATAGTTGGCAGATTATATTTCCAATGTTATCATATTATTTTATGAGGGTGTTATAATGTTGTCTCATAGACTCATGTCCATTCACAGAGGAGCACAATATATTTAATATTTTACCTCATAAATTTGTTTTATTTACAACCATTTTGTCCTAAGGGTGTTTACTGAATCAATCTGACTATTTTTATCAAGTTTTCCCCTCATCTGACAAACAGATCCACCTAAATTATAATAAAAGCGGTTTTGGTGGACACACAACTACACACACACATACACACATTACGAATAAGTAACATATCAACCTGAGACTCAGTGATCTACTGAAATAACAATAATAGTAAACTCAAGATCCTGGCGTAAGAGTACTTAGCTTTCCTCCATGATTAAAACATATGTCATGCGGTTTTCAGAATTTTTAATTGAGTCATACCACTGTCGTACCCGTCTGTAATAAGATAATTATATTTAGTTGTTAATCAGATGCATTTTAATGAGATGCATCACTCGAAGTTTCTGAGAACTTACTGAGGTACCTAGTTCTCTTACCCGCCAGTAAGTGGCCTGTAACTTGGCCACTTACCCCAGTGAGTAGCTTATTATTAGGGAACTTACTGGAGGTCCTTAACTAACTGCTTAGTAACCTTTAATTAAGTTACTTATGGAGGTTACATGTAGGTCAAGTAAATAGATAATAACCAGGTCACTCATTGGTGTCCTGTTTCTGAATAGTTGACTGACAAAAGAACATTTGCAACAACAATCTACTGTATTTTGGTGGCGTCTATTTTCTTATCTCCTCCGACTTTTTTCCAGCCACGAACCAGTGTCCATCCTGTGACAAGAAGTTCAAACACAGGACAAACCTTCTTCGTCATTTGAGGTTTGAGTGCAACCGAGAGCCGAGGTATTCTTGTTCCGAATGTCCTTACCGTGGCAAGTACAGACAACATCTTCAACGTCATAAGATGCACCGTCATCCGAATAGTCAGAAAGGGTTGTCAGATGTTAGTATGAAGAATCAGCAGTTGCAGTCAAGTGGTGTCAGTTTGACAAATCAGCAACGTTCTCAGCAACTGCTACAAGGGGTCCTGAACCTGAAGGAGTATATAATGCTGTAAAGCTATGATTATTTTGCGATGGTTTACCTGAAGCTAAAAATGCGTGTAGAGATTAATGAAATAAAACCAATATTTCATCTTTTTATTTGTTGTAATTTATACATACACCGATGATTAAGCTGGGGTCTTTTGTAACCATTTAGTTTTTAATGTACAGACTTAAATTACTAAAAAGGGAAACCTTTTTTTTCTCAATTTTTCATACGATTAGTTTGTGAAGAGTCATCATGCATGCCTTAACATATTGTATGTATACTTTAAATGGGTTGAAAATCATACGCAACGTTACTAGCAATATTAGAATTAAAATGTAAAAAATATTCGGACAATATCGATCTCTCACCACTTGCTTTCAAATCTTTGAATTCAATAGACCAGTCTAAGCAGTATCCAAGCCAAGGAACAAGTTTAGTATTTTGTGAATTCATAGCTAAGCTAAAGAATAACGCCAGTAGTTTCAAGTATGTGTACGAAATGAAAATATTTTGTCTAACACTGAACCAAAAGATCCTACCAGGTTTGCTTCAGGAGTGTGGCTGAAAGGTCCGCCCTACTCATACACATGCAGATCACACACACACACACACACACACACTAAGCAAGATAATTAGATGATTTAGATGATTTGACGATTTGACATACCATTGAGACGTGCGTGAGTGAGGATCCCCACAATTACAGCTGAGCTCCATCATCACTCCCTAAAAAAGCAGAGTATAGTCACTAAGATCTTTGGTTGGGTAAAAGTGAGATGTCCAGTAATGCATAGAAGATGGGACTCCTCCCCTGGAGGCTTGATTAAAAAATCTGAATTCGCCAATGGCTTTTACTCAAAAGAGGACAAAACCTGGTGACAAGACCAAAAAAATATCCTCTGGTATATAATATGTGATCTAATGTAGCGTGACCTAAACATGTTTTTGTAGGTGGAGACAACTGTGTTGTAAAATTAGTAGGTGGCCAACCCCGATACTTCTGCTCATGTGGCCGCAGTTACAAGCTTAAGGGAGGATTGCAGAAACATCAGCGCTACGAATGTGGGAAAGAACCCCGATTCTCTTGTCCTCACTGCCCTTACAAAGCTAAGCAGAAAACAAGCCTTACTTCACACATGATGTTTAAGCATAAAACGACTGTTATGCAGGACTTTTAGAGTCTAAAGAATTCTTTGTATTGTAGTGTAATGATTTTTGTACTCAAGATTATTAAGATTTTTTCCTTTTATATCTATACTTATAGAAGCCAAATGCCACTCACTTACTGTCCACTATATCACAAAAACTACATGCCTTAAGAACTCAAGAATAGGAGTGGAGGTTACAAAAACGCTAGGTGAGTAAAAATAAACGTTTTTAAGAAATTCCGTCACGGCTCTGCCCTAGTGGCCTTCAAATTTCCTTTTTTATGTTAACCTCCTCCAAGTTATTCTTATGGAGAAACGAAATTGTTTACATTTGAATAAATGCATACTTTTAATTGTTCATAGTTAATTAAGGGAAAAGCTCCTCCTCGTATTTAATTGGTTGAAATGGAAATACTTGCATTATTTGTGGCTTGAAAATTTGAAAACGAGTCATCGTTATATTTTTAAAAGATTAGTTTTCATAACTATAAATACTTGTTACCCATTAAATTAAGTATAACCATTGGTGTTCCTTTATTCAATATTATTTTTTGTATTGTTTTATTAAACACTGTTTTCACTTACACTCACAATGTTGTTACTGACTACCTCCCTAAACATTTATATTACGTAGCTTTACCTACAGTAGCAGTATGTGCTACACTTGAGTCCGATGTTGCACCCAACCATATAACAGTATTTTTCTTTTAGATGGTACAGTGGTGAGTAACGTCCGTGCTAGCCATAGTTGACATTTCTGAGACGATATAGTTTGTTTATACGACGCCATATTTTATATGACCTAAAAGGTCTTAAAGAACGTATAAAGGGGTCACAGATGCCCATGTTACATAACGCTAGCAAAAGTCCACTTTTCACTGGGCTCGCTAAAGATAGATTTTTTTGTATGAACAGGATATAGCAACTAAGATCTTTACTGTAATGTGGTAATGGAAGGAGAATTTTCACGTAAAGGCTTCATTTAAAATCCTGAGAATCGGAAATGGCTTTTACACGTATGATAATATTACCTGGTGGCAAAGAAGTCATTCTTTGCATCAAAAACCTCCAAACTAAAAATTTTCCAATTTAAATTAATTGTCTCTTTATTTGTTCTAGACAAGCCTCACATATGCCCTACCTGTGGCAAGCGCTATATGCACAAGCGTCACCTCATTCGCCACGAGCGTTACGAGTGCGGGAAAGAACCTCAGTTTGCCTGTACACACTGTCCTCATCGCAGCAAGCACAAACAAGACCTCAAGACCCACATGGCTCTCAAACATGCAGACTTCACTGTATTTTAGTTTTGTGTTATTTGTGATTTTTCATTTTAGTTTGTTTTAGTTCAGAGGCCTCTTCGTAAGGTTACACCTAATCAGAACCTTTAGGTTAAATTAGTAATTACATTGAACTAAAATGTCCTCTGGTTAATTTGATCAAATGTATCATAACCTAACCCTGTTTTTGTAGGTGGGGACAGCTTCCTAGTAAAAGTAGTAGATGGTAAACCACGATACTTCTGCTCTTGTGGCCGCCATTACAAACGTAAGGGAGGATTAAGCCAACATCAGCGCTACGAATGTGGGAGGGAACCCCAATTCTCTTGTCCTCTCTGCCCTTACAAGGCTAAACAGAAAACAAGCCTCACCTCACACATGATGTTTAAGCACAAACAAACAGCTGCGCAAGGAATTTTAGGGTCTTAAGGAACTTTTTGAGGTGTATTTTGTGATTGTTTTGTACTTATAGGTATTACAATTTTTCCAATTTTTGTTACCTAATATTCAACTCACATTTAAGCAGATGTACTTCACAAAAATGTCTTTTTTTCTTAGTCAAGGGTCATAGTTAATTCTGTTTGTGTCCTACAGTAAGAATATTTTTGTACTTAAGTATACCTTCAAGAAAAATGAGTTAGTCTTGTTTTCAGAAAGTGGCATATTGGACTATAAATCTATGCTACCTGTTGTTGCTAAACAGTTATTCTAGTTTTGACGATGTTATGAAATGCTAGTTTTTTGGAAGTTAACGAGCCCACACTAGGCATTTAGGTGTAACCTTTGTTAAACAACGAGAACACGTGTAATAAAAACTAATTTTTGGATTTAAGCTTAACTCTTAGGACATAATTTGTTTTATGTAATCTTAGGAAGTGGCCTCTTTTATTTCATTTTCTTGTTATTGACAATCAATGTGTTTTCTAGTCTTAATAACTAAGGTTACCTAAATAAACCTTTACCTTGAAAGATGAAATTGTAGACTTTATATAATAGTGTGTGAAATCGAACTTTTGTTATGTTTCTTTATACTCTGTGTTTAATCTATATTAGTTGCTGAGGGAACAGTTTGTGGTAATTTATAATTTAACTAAAAACATTTACATATCTATAAAAGCCAGATATGTAATCCTACATATTGAGTTCACATTTGACAGCTAACAATATCTTAAACCAAAATATCCTGCTCACAAAATCTTTTGGGTACCAGTAATAATTTTACAGGAAGCATTATTTTTGACCATGATAATTTCTAAGATTAAATTTTGAATTTTCATAGCAATATTTATCAGGAAATATAAATTACTACGTTGGAACCTTTACCATTTATTGATATAGTCGTAATAAGATAAACACCAAAAAATATAAATACTTTTTATGCTTTAAGTATAACCATTTGTGGTACGTTTTTGTGTGTTATTTTTCAAACCGTATTATTAAACGCTGTGTTCACTTACAATGTTGTTTATTTCCTCCTATAAATTTATCTTATGTAGCTTCACTTACAGTAGTAGTATGTGAGACCTTTTAGCACCATGGTGCAGCCAATCAGATATAGTTAAGGTCTTAAAAACATTTAAAGGAACAATGAAATTTAAAATAATTTTTTTATTTTATTAGTTACATTGATGGTCTTTATTATAGTGTATCTTACGCACTATTAGGGTTTGCTACTATCAGTTGGGCATATCCGAAGTGCGCCACTCCCCAGGTCATTTGTGAGGGGGTCTTAAACGGTCACATAATCCCACTCCACTAGTGCGCCATCTCCAGTCAGGCATGATTATTGTGTAATCAGGCAAACAAAATAGGCTTACTGGTCCCTCAATATTTAGCTGCTGTAACCAAGCTTCGCAACGGGGATACAGTATTGCACAAGAACATTTTTGTTCTTTAAATGTCATGAATTAATCACGCATTCCCCATTGGTTAAATAGAACCCAAATTCAACCATACCACTTCATTTGAGTTTTTTCTTATTCGGGTTATCAGTGGAAACTTTTAGGTTACACGGAACAAAATATAAAGAGGCGCTGATGAACTTATGAACATACTATAACTACCTATTTAATTTAAGGTTTAAAAGATACACTTATTAGATCAAAAACCTGCATACACTTAATAATTATAATACCCCGGCTGCAGAAAACCTACAAACTAAGCGAATTTCAATTTACCTAGATAGATTTTCACAAAAATATCCCCATGAAATTGTTCAATTTATTTCATATTTAAATAACATTAATTTTAGCGAATTTCCCTATAGGGAAGTATCTATTACCGTAGGTCTCATGGTAAGACCCAAGCCCGGGACCGATTTACTTTTTCATTTTGATGTCCCCAGAGGCCAAAAATGTGTCCATCCGCACGATAACTTGAGTAATTTTTGTCCGATTTTGATAAAATTTTGTTTGAAGGTGTAAGGCGGGTTAAACTTGAATGAGTTCGTGAACCAGCATGATCGGACTATGGGAACGGGGGTTTATGGGGGGTTTTATGGGGTAAAAATAGGTTTTTCCCATTTTTGACCCTAAAAACACAAAATTTCACAATTTCTTTTTAAACCATTTTGTAGAGCTTAAAAAACAAATAACTTAGTATATTGAAGCGTTATTATGCGCTTAATTGTTACGGAGAAAATTCAAAAAATTTTAATTTTAAAATTCCCATGTTATTCTTGTGGAGAATAAGTCAACTGTTGTAGTTTGCTTGTTTATGAACATATTTTGATCAAATTTGGAAAATACATTAATTTCTTACTAAACCACAGTACCTTTTAACATTTTACATAAAAAAAACTTTTTTACCCTCCCTGTTGCAGCGAACCTAAGTACTCATTAAACTAGTTCTGTTTAAATAGGGAATAAATGTGATATTTTTAAGAAGACATTTTAGTTTAAAAAATCCAATCAGGCAAATGGAAATTCGCTAAGTCTGCAGGTTTGCTGCGGCGGGGGTATTTTCTATTATTGAGTATTCTGGGTTTGCTGTACAGGGAAGTTGTTGATAGCTTAATATGAAATAATCAAAATTGATTAAAATATATCCACAAACAAGCAAACTATTACACTTTATTTATTCCCAATAAGAATGACATGGGACTTTTTAATTCACACTTTATTGGACAAAGTTTCGTTCATTAAAAATAAGATTGAACAGCGTAGACGCAACGAAATCAGTGTTCTAAAATTTTTTAAGTGCGTTGGTCTAAAAGTTTCTGTTTGACGATGAACTGGTAACTGAATCTGAACTGTTCAGTGATAAAATGTTTTTGATTGCTTTTGGTATTTAGAAATTCCCATAGTTAAAATTAACCGTTTAAAAATTATTATAAAATGTCCCATGTTATGTTTTTGTTTGCTTTTGACATATTTTTCAGCATTACCATAAACCATTTATGAATGATTGTAAAATGTCCCATGTTAAGTTTTTGATTGCTTCTGGCATATTGTTTAGTATTTACTGTTTAAATTAACAGTTTATAAATTATTGTAAATTGTCCCATGCTATGTTTTTGATTGCTTTTGATGTATTGTTTAGGATTTTCCGCTTTCAGTTAGTTTAAATTAACCATTTGTAAATTATTGTACAGTAAGATGTTCCATGTTATGTATTTGTTTGTTTTAGGCATATTGAATAGCAGTTTACAATTTCATTTAAATAGTTTCAGTTTAATTAAAGCTCCAAATTGTAATTTGTATTTGCATATATTGTTTTATTTTAAATTGTAAATATTTAATTTAATTTGAATCAACAGTTCTAACGAATAAAAAATGCTCCATAGTGTATTTTTGGGTTCTTACATTTTTTTAATAAACAGAAATGTGGTATAATTTTCTCATTAGGTTCCTTTCAAAAACAGTTGACAGTACAGTAATTATAAATGAAGGAGCATGTAATTCTACGAAATTTTTTTTATTTTCATGTTTTTGGTCCTCTTTCTCAACAAACTAGGCCTATTAGTCGAACACGATACTTAAAGTACAAATGTATGCTAGGGACTACGGTATGTTGGTGTGTAATTAATAACAAAAATAGCCTATGTAGTGTTAAAGTGATTGTCTACTTTTGGATTTACATGTTCTAGTAAGTGTAGAAAATTTCTGCCTGAGTGGTTTCAAGAGTTGAATAGGTGGCGCAAGTGTGGAGGGTGATTAAGGGGTGGATCTAAGCTTTTGGCGCACTAGTGGAGTGTTTGGATCGCGACCCAGGTAGAATGGCGCAAGTGTGGAGAGCCCTATCAGTTGATTGACATTGAAAACCAACCTTATCCAAATATAACTAGGCAAAGCCATGAGGAGGCTATGAGTCAATCAATACTATTTTATGTTATTTGTAGCAATACTGGCATCTAAAAAAAACATTATAACTCAATTTCCGTAGAACTACACCAAACATTCAACACACTCCCAAAAAGATTCATCTTCTTTGATACACATAAAAATAAACAAATGCATTTTCGAATTTGCATATAGTTACAACATTTTTTACATTTTACTCACTATTTGTATTTCAGAGAGGAGGCACATGTGCATGGCTTGTGGTAAGAAGTATGTCCAGAAGGGTCATCTTACGAGACATATCAAGTTTGAATGCGGCAAAGATCCACAATTCTTTTGTCCTCATTGCCCTTATAAGGCAAAGCAGAAAAGTACCCTGAAGTCACACATAGTGTTGAAACATCGGGTGATTTCATGAGGAAATCTGCATAAGTGCACCACTTTGTTTGGCTCAATTTAATTCTATCTTGATTGTACAGAAGTTAAAACGTTCAACTTTTTTCTATCATTTTACTTTTATAATTAGTTTTGTAAAAAGATTTGTATTCACTAAAAAAGAAGTTTGCATTTTTATATGTTTTTGGGATATTTTCTTCAATGTGTTATCTTATCTTGGTTGTAAAATATGAATCCATCTTGTTTGAAAAATGCATTATAATTATTTCTTATATCTATTTACATTAATATTGATTGTAAATATAAAATATTACAGTGAGTTATGTTAAGCTGAATGTGGATAAATAAATATATCAAAGAATTTGATGAATTATAATTAATTTTCCTCTATATACATTACATTATTTATTTAAACACTCACCTAAAACTGATAAGGAGAAGTTATTTTCAAATATTGTAAAAATTCTCAAACTACATTATTTTCACCATTGGAGAGTGAGCTGCTCAAGTCATAGAACAGCTTCGTTTACCAAGGTCCCGGGTTCAATCCCCCCAATTACTAATCCTAGGCCTATCCTGAAGTAATGTGAAAAAAATTCCAGTTATAGAGGCTTATAAAAAAATTAATCATTTAAGGCTGTGGTTTCCTAGACGCGTAATAGATGCGCAGCGGTTTAGATGCGCAGCGTCTTTTATCCAGGTCCAAAAACGCACCTGCCGTGAGTGGTTTCCTAGACTGCGTACAATACACACGGTTGGTGCGTAACATAA